TTGGTTGAAAAAATATAAGCACGGTCTCCAATATAAGCGCGGTCTCGAATATAAGCACAGGGTAGAGGGGTGTTCAAAAAATATAATCACGGCGCTTATAATAGAGAATATACGGTATTTTCGCACCATGCCACAATGACGTCACACATACATTGGTATGGGGCGTGGCTAAAATTGAAATATCTCAAGAACGCTTTCTCGTAGAGACTTCGGACCAAGACCATTCGACTCAGCGCCCGAAACTCTACAGGCTATCAAATTTTCATTTTTTCGTGGAGTTCCCCTTTAAAAACAAAAAAGTCCTGAGCGTGTTTCTAAGATTTAAAAACGCCAAGTGTTCTGCTTGCTGCCAGCTGGACCCTTTCTCTTCTTCTTTCTTTTGTAGTTGTGTGGTTATTGTGTGAGTGTATATGCAGGAGTCCGCGGTCATGTGAGGGGGAGTGATAAATGGAAGTTTCCGGAGGAGGAAGGAGGAAACTGTAGTTATCACCAACCCTCACCGCACCCAGCTCACGACGCTACGGCGTGCGACCTGAGCTGGGCGCCCTGCCGTGCAGTATGGAACTGTCCTCAAGCCAGTCACGTATTTGGCAACCCAGTGAGCTGTCTACCGGATCCCAGCGTTTAGAACCGCCAAATGCGGCAGGGCCAGTCTCAGGCTGGTCGCGTAGGCGGCAGGCCGGCGGGGTACGGCAACTCTGCATTCGCATTTGGATCACCGAAGTGATACAGGTGCTTCCACTGCACCCTGTGGCGCATCAGGGAGGCACCTGGGGCCCAGGCAGCCCGCCCGTAAGCGCACCACCGTATCAGGTATGCGCAGGTGGGGCAGCAGAGCAAGATGTGTGCCGGACACCCGGCGGTACCCACCATCATCCGGTCGACTTCATGGTTGTGCGACTTTACACAGCCGGCACTCATTACTTGCTATTGCTTGCAGAAGGCCAGGATTTTTTTGTTTTCGCTCTTTCCCTTCCTCCAGGCACGGCTTCATGTTAGAGCAGTAAATAGCAGTTAGGAACTCATCAAGCTGGACTCAGCGTGTCAAGTTTGGCATAATACAAGAAGCGCGCTATCCCTAAACAGTTGTGTGGTTATTGTGTTAGTGTATATGCAGGAGTCCGCGGTCACGAGGGGGGGGGAGGAGTGATAATAGGGAGGTTCTGCTATACGTGAAACGTAGAGAAATCACGTAGAGAGCAGGTGTCTGGGTTAGAGTCTACGGCTTCGCGTGTTTTGGCTCCAGATTTCTACGCAGAGATGGGGTTCTCTACGTTGTGGCACACGCAGAGAAAATAAGGACGTTTAGCAATGCGAAAATTCGAACTTTTGGTGGTGGTGATATTTCGCGAAAATCTATTTCGAAAAAGAAAACTTGTGAGGTTAAGGGCCTGGTCAGACTGCGGCAAAATCGAAATAATCCTGGGATTATAATCCGAATCTCCATAGTAACTTGCCGCCAGAGCGGCAAAAGCGAGAGTTGACGCTCCAAAAAAAAAGCAAGTACGGACCACGCTTTTCCGCTCCAAACAGGATTTGACGCTGATACGCCATTGACGCTGATAATCACTGATTTTTTCATCTCGATATCGAGGAGCTAATTGGCCGGGGACAACAACAAAACTCATAAGGATGGTTGCAAGGATTGCACTGAAGGTGTTGGCGATCCCCAAGGTGAAGGAATTTGACGTCGTTCGTGGAGATTACCACTTGACGCTCGAAATGAAGTTTGAATTTTCACTCTCCCCACGTGTGTAGTGTGATCGCGATTCAAATTCTGGACGCTGTTCTGTTTTCGTCAGGCAACCAAATTTTGCCGCAATGCGAAATGACTTTTTCTCAAAGTTATTTGAATCTTATAGTACCGTACCGTATATGCAGGTCAGTCTCAAGCAGGGGACTGTAAAATTACTACTCCCTGTAGTCAAATGCGTACCGAGAAAAGAGAAAGTTACTTTCGCAAATGAGCCGGGCCGTGCGAAAAGGGCCCTAACGATGTTCACTGTACAGTGCAGTAACACGCACTTGAAAGTTGACAGGTCGATTACGTCATAGTTCACATACACCACAGTATTCGTGCGCTCGCAACGCGAGTATGGTAAGCGCTAGGCTCTACAGGATAGCACAGTGCGATGGCCCAAGGTCCCAGCTCTACGTGGGTATTTCCCTTTTTCAAATCGGCCAATGTACGGCTGAGATCGAAAAAATTTGCGTCGCGCTTCGGGGAGCGAGCTGCGCTAGTTTGGAAATTTCTCGAGTGCGATTTTCCATCGCTGTTCTTGTTTTGCTATTCCTCCGCCGAGATGAGTATCTATCGACATTTCACTGTTGACGAAGCACTGAGCCTGGTCCTCACCGCCAGTGAGGATCAGTATCTCGCGCCCAGCGCTGAATCTGAATCCAATGCCGACACTAGCGCGAGTGATGACGATTCTGACGGAGAAGAAATTCGAGTGTCACGATCAGCTGTTCCACTTTCCGCTGCTGTCGTTGGTGTCTCCACCAGCCTTCATGGTGACGTTCCAGATGGCTCAGAACCCTGTGATGCGCCAGGATTGCCCAGTGAGGATGACGGTGACGAGCGATCGCTTCAGTACTGGGAAGGTGATGTGGACACGGACACAGCCGTCCATGAGTTTGTTCTGAAATGCTTTTTCGGTTCAAGAAAATCAAGAACCAGTGGGGGAACAGGCTGCTGCTGCTGCCCCTATGCAACAGGTTGGTGGCGCTGCTGAGGGACAGGCTGCTGCTGCTGCTGCTGCTGCTCAGGTGCGTGTTGCTGATGCTGGTGAGGGACAGGCTGCTGATGCAGCAGCAGCAGCAGCTGACACTCCAACGAGGTCCTGCGGCTGCACCAAAAACTGCCTCAGCAAGTTCCCATCCAGTGAAGTGGACGATGTCCAACTTACGATGAGAGGACTAGAAAAAGCAGAAAAAGGATATGCTGTTGATGGGAGTACTGTTGTCGGCGGAGTAGCGCTCTGACGCTCAGCGAGGAAAGAGAAGACGTGCAGCATTTGATTATTCGTTCCGCGGAGAGGTTGTATGTGCCGGAGCATTCAGGCAAATCTATGACGTGTCGCAGAGAGTATTGAAAAATATACTCAACCACCTGAAAAACTGCGGACCTGTGCCACGCATCAACCGTAACACGGGACGGCGGCCGCACAATGCCCTGACGTCTGCCATTCCTCTTGGTGGCATAAGTGATGACCGGGCGCAGTACTTGTACAAGGAGATCCGTCCGTTTGTTGCTGACCCGTACAAGGACGACCTCTGCCCACAGCCCGTACCTGCAGAAGCCGAGATGTCGGATTGACTTACACAGGAATCTGCATGACTCTTGAGGAACAAACAGGGATATAACAAGTTTATGATTCACTGAATGTCATGGGTTTTTTTTAATTAATTTAGCTGAGTTATTCTTGCCATTACGAACCGCTGTCAAATAATCTAGTTTCCATTAATTTATCAGCCGTTTACTCAGAAAATACCTTGAAACGCAGGTTACAAAAATCACTATAACTCTGGTTTGGATTGACATTTTTTGGAACGGTTTTTTGCACAGCAATCCTGACAGCTTCAGCTATAATATTGGACACTAAACTCATTTTGACAAAAATCATCATTAGGGCCCTTTTCGCGTGGCCAGGCTCAAATCACTGCAACTTCGCGTCCAAGTTTTCGAAGTTTCGAGCTTTTTTCCTGTACTCATTCCCAGACTCGAATTTTCTTTCGAACTTTCGCGTTGCTAAACGTCCTTAATGCTTACGGATTTACTGGGTATCGAACAACTGCATGCAGAAAACTGCCAAATATGGAAGGGAAATTCCCAGTACACATTCCACGTGACTTCTCTAGGTGAAGCGTAGAGCAGAACAGCATTTCTTTACGTTACGGGAACGCGAAGAAAGTTCGCGTGATTCTTTGCGTCGCGTTTGCAAAACGTAGAGCAGAACCTCCCCAGTTAAACTTTTATCTCCACGTAGATTATTTCCGTAGTTTTATCAAATTTGTTGGAAGATTTGATATGTGTGCGAACTATTATAAACCCGAATCCTGCCAAGCAAAGTTCCACGTCACATCGCACGTGTAACTTAACCTCTAAAAATTACACACAACGTGAGATTTGCACCACGTTGTGAAAAAAGACAAAAAACGTGCACTCTCTAGTTACACCAAAAAGCGCGAAACAAGACTTGATTTTTTACGCAGCTCTTTTAGAGCATGGTAATCATCATGTGCGTGTTTTGAAAATTTGAAATACCCACGGTGAAACATTCAAAAATGCAAACGTGCCTGTCGTCGATTGCAGCTGTGTGAACCCACAGAGTCACTTTTCTCGTATGTCACTCCCTGTAAAACGTGCAAGTGCCTGTCGTGTGAATACCCCATGAGGGTTATACGCCGTGGTTGGTTATAAAAACCCTGCAATCACCACTCCAAAGTGATCAATAGGGAGGTTTCGCTCCACGGAATTACGTAAGAAAATAACGTAGAAACTGCACGTAATTTTCAAACGTGAAATTCAGAGCTGTTGGGTTTCGCTCTACGTGATTTCTCCACGACTGCTAAACATGCCTTGTTGCTTTGGAGACGTGTTGGCTGCATGTGCCCACCGCATGCACCACGAACCGAAACCGCGTTTTCCATCGTATTTTGCATGTGATGTACGGTGTGTGTAGATCTACCTTGTGTTTCGCGCGGCTTGAACTTTGCCATGGACAAGTCCTGAAAATGCAAAAAATATTTCAAAAAGTCCTACGGAGGCCGTAACGTAGGAAACAGCTTTCCAACGGAAATCCGTAGAGAGTTTTACTTATGAAAGCGGCCCTCGCTCCCCGGCGTGGACGACATACGGATTTTCATACGTAATTACGTAGAGCGAAACCTCCCTATTGGCTGCCCCAGCCATGTACGAGTTGCTTGGAATAAAACTAATGATAGGGAAACTCCCTATAAACCACAACACAACCGCTCACATAAATCTCGAAGTACTAGTACCCGATTTTTTTATAGCAAACTACTAGCAACAGACTTGGAGGCGAAATGTAATAGTGCATTGAGAATTATACTTATTCACAGATACCAGTGGAATTGAATCTACGATAGGCACCACGTGTTGTAAGAATGCTCACTCCAATATGGATGAAAATCAATTATTCTTGCTGAGTGCAACGATATTATTGTATCAACAAAAGTATAGACTCCTAATGACAAACTAACGTACTCGGAGGCAAAATGTAACAGCGCACAGAGCATATACTTCTTCACGGATTTCAGGGGAATTACATCTACGATAGGCACTATGTGCTGTAAGAATGCTCTCTCCGATCAATGGACAACCAACTGCGTTCTAGCTGAGTGCAGCGACATTAATCAACGAAAGTACAGATTGGCGATTACTAATTAACAGACTCGTGCATGCTTCAATTCAATCAATGCTAAGTTTCCTTATCAATATTTCCTACCAATATATCCTTAAGCCAAGATTAGCTTCATGCAAGTAGCATCAAAGTACAGAGAAGTACCAACACGAAATGAAATCAAGGCATCAGGTGACATCGTGTGAAATGCGTACTGATTATTACCTCTTACAGTCATGCATAATAATTGTGTATAGGTGTGTTGACATATGCATGCATGTGTATGCGTGGTGTAACACTACAGGAATGCTAACAATGACTGGAACTGGCCGTCAGCTTTTTCCACTTGCTAAGGCTTGTAGAAAGTCTTCCCACTGTTCCAGCGCTGCAAACAAAATGAACACAACACATTGCCCCTGTCTCAATGCAAGTTGGTATTGCTGTATTTTATAAGATCCTGATGAACAACTCTTTTCAAGGGCAGCTCCACCAGCAGTACTTTAAGGGACTGTGCTTCTGTTCCAGTTTGCATGTTATTTTGTTTACTGTACTCCATTATGAATTTATGTTCAGTATCTAATGGCATAAATCCTGTCATAAACTTATACTGGAGAGATATTCATATACTAACAGTTAGTAAACTGAAGAGCAGTATTTTCCAGTTATGCTAAGGTCGCCCGTAATTTTCGGGAAAATTCCGTCCTGATGCAAAAACAGCGGGTGGCTGGTCAGGTACGCGGGCGGAATATTTTTTTCGCATTTATTCTTACACCTGGTGCACTATGTTCAGTAGTGTAGGATGGATTGTTGCAAATAGCAGTCTTTCACTATGACGTAGAACACGCATGGGCAGTAGATCAACTGACCAACTTGTACCCCACACACAGACGTGAGATCTTACTTTTATATACCGTATTTTTCCGGTTGTAAGTCGACCTTTTACGACTTAAAATAGACGGAGAAAGGGTGGGGGTCGACTTACAACCGGGATTCGACTTATAACCGGGAGCTATCTGTATCTTACAAAAAATGATCTGCACTGCATGCACAAGTGCACCATGTGTACACATTGTTGCCAGTTTATTGGCATTTTTGAAGGATTGGGACGTTATACCCTCCATTACCAACCACACAACAAGCCGACCTGTTTGGGAGCTATTACGCGTTGTATTACCAGGAGATAGGCAACAATTGCCGCATACAATAATGCAATATTCTGGTCCAATGCCAGAGCTAGTATTGCAAGCACCGCTGTGCGTTAGTATGGCCAATGCCGACACTAACTGGGGCAACAATTGCCCGGTGAGAATTCAGACGTGTCAATACTCGAGCATGCAGTAGGGATGCACTTGTGGGCGAATATAGGCGCACTTGGCTCAATGCCGGCCTGACCCACGATCCCTACTGTTGAATTCAGATGTGTCAATACACGAGCATGCAGTAGGGATGCACTTGTGGGCGAACGTAGGCGCACTTGGCTCAATGCCGGCCAGACCCAGGATCCCTACTGTTGAGTTCAGATGTGTCAATACACGAGCATGCAGTAGGGATGCACTTGTGGGCGAATGTAGGCGCACTTGGCTCAATGCCGGCCTGACCCACGATCCCTGCTGTTCTCCCTTACGGGATGGCTTAAATGATGCACTTGCGAGCGAATATAGGCGCACTTGGCTCAATGCCGGCCTGACTCACGATCTTTACTGTTCTCCCTTTCGGGATGGTTTTGAAAGGAATGCTAGTGGGAGATAATGGGGTGGGTGGTGGTGATCAGAAACTGGCCGCGATAGTCAAACAATTTGACCGTCAGCACAGCAAAGCGAAGAGCAAGAAACAACAGCATGGCGAATTGGAGTAATGCGCATGCTCCGCACAGTACCGTGCGGAAACGCGGGAATTCGGAGTGCATGCATGTTATGCATGTACAAGTGTTGCTGATGGCAAGGATGTTGGTGTGTTGCTAACTCCACTGACCGTGCCATGCACGGAAACTTATAATTAAGTAATGTTGACATGTTGACATGATTTTTTGATGTGTTAGTAGCAGGAGGTGGTTTGTAGTGCTTCTTTGGGTGAAAACTTTAAAACGCAGAATTGAGACCTCCGGATACGGGGGTCCACCTATAACCGGGGTCGACTTACAACCCGTAAAAATAAGGTACTTAAATGGACGCAGTTTGTTTAAAATTTTCTAATTGGTACAAGAACGGGGGAAATAGAAACAAGTAATGGGAAAGAGAGGAGGGGGGCAGTGGGTCATACACAACTTTGCATAAGGACGGATTTTTAAGGTAGCTCAATTGGGTGTCACAAACTGGTCTTCTCAGCATCCTTCTGTGCAGATCATGAGTGGAGACATTATTACTTTCTGCGGCTCATGGGTTCGAGCCCGTCATGAGCGACTTTTTCTTCTTCTTTTTCCATGTTTTTTGGAATGACATACCACATTTCCGAATTGAAAGGAGGTTCTACAGCAGGAATTTGCCCAAATACCCCCTATAGCCTTTTCTCTTTCCTCCTGAGTAAGGGTGTGACTTGACACGCAATAAGCTGCAAAACAGCGACATTATTGTTATTTCACCATGCTCACAATGACTTTTATGCGAACACAAATTGGGGAAGCTATGGAAGATTGCAGCAGGTGATAGTTCTGAAATTTGTTGTACAAAGTAGGCCCTATGGACAAAATCACACAACATGTCCTTAAAATCTCATAATCTGATATTTTTTATAGCGGCATACGGTAAAAAAATTCACGTTCACGTGAGGCTTGGCTGGACGCCTAGTTGTTCGCATCCGCAGGAATGCCACCACCCTCAAGGATCAAAGCAGGAACACCACCACCCTCAAGGATCAAGGCAGGAACACCACCACCCTCTAGGATCAAGGCACAGATGCAGCTCATAAAGCGATAGGAGGTAAGTAGATCAGAGCGACCCACAATGTGGTCAAAGACAAAAATTCCATTCACTGCATCCATGTTTCCCTCGTGCCAGGCCACGAGTTCCCAATTAACTGTGGGCCGCAGCACGGAATGAGGCAAAATTTCCTTGTCAGTTTTGTGCGATTTTGTAGCACTCGATGACTATATTTGATTTAATTTATTTTAATCATAACTCGTAACATTTTCTCCTTTGTTTTTATCCATGATTACTTTAACTCAACATCCGAGTTCAAATCTATTAGCTAGATGCACCTTATTATCTAATTATTTCACTTTTTTTACTAGTTCCTTCCCATTTTCGTACATTTTCTTTTTCAGTTCCTCCATTGTTCGTCATCTTTCTGTTCCCTATTCAATGAAAAATCCGTCATTTATGAACGACCCAAAGACCACATTCTATGATTCATGATTCAGATGACGTAGACTAAAAAACATCACCGCGTCATTGGTTTTATCAAGAGTACATAACCCCCCAGAGTGTGCAACGCCTGATCCAGCTCTGCATTGGGTCTTGGTCGATCGTAATTGGATCTTCTGATGTCATGCGTGCACTCCATACCAGCGCAAGGCCGGTCTCGAGGCAAGGCACCATTGTTTTTAATCCGAGAGTACCCGTGACTCCCCGGGTTCCGCTCAGATGCCTAGTGTACGGTATTATGACGCAAAGATCCGATTCCGCTCAACCAAGACCCTATGCAGAGCTGGACCAGGCGTTGCACACTCTGGGGGGTTATGTACTCTTAGTTTTATGCAACATGGATGCACACACACACACTCTGGTTTATGCACTCTTGCTGTTGCCTGTTGGCTTGTCAAATCTATACTAGTGCAAACTAGCAGCATGACAGCGCATAGGAGTTTTCGGATCATTCTGCAAAGCAGATTATTACAAAAGTTATCTGAAATGATAAAGGTACACAGTTCCCTTATCAGTTCAGAAAACTTTTGTAATGGCCTCATCATCAACATAGTCCGGGAGCAAAGTTCAAAAAAGTTCTTCTAAATGGGACTTTGCTCGCACCTCTTAGAGGGGACACTTTGGAAGGTTCTGTGTGCGTGCGTGTGCACTGGCTCATATGTGTGTGTGTGTGTGTGTGTGTGTGTGTGTGTGTGTGTGTGTGTGTGTGTGTGTGTGCATGTGTGCGTGTGCGCTGGCTCATATGTGTGTGTGTGTGTGTGTGTGTGTGTGTGTGTGTGCGTGTGTGTGTGTGTGTGCATGTGTGTGTATGTGCATGCGCACCCTGGCTCGCGTGGGCACACTCGTGTGTGTGTGTGTGCGTGTGTGTGTGTGTGTGTGTGTCCCATATGGTGCAGTGGTATGTGCAGCGATTTCCAATCGATAGGTTGCGGGTTCAATTCCCGACGATTATGGTCACACACGTCTTTCTTCTCTTTCTCAGACTCTTCCTGACTTTTCTTTCATTCTCCTGGGTGGTTACCAACAGCCAGTGTATGCCGGAGTATGTGGTGTGGTGTGTGTGTAGAAAAAGAAAAAAAAAGAAAAAAAGAAAAAAATGGAAAAATGAAAAATAGGGATTCACTGGCCAGAAAAAGTCACTTCAAACAGCTGTGTGGTGGATACCAGGCTAAAAATAGTGGCGGTCAATTCATCAGCCTTGCAAGCTGTTGAATGGTGTAATCCCAGCACAAGTTGCTATGTCTAAAACATAGCTGTTCGCTATCATCGCTCCCGCAATGGGCATGTCTGAGGTCTGAGGTGTGCGTGCCCCTCTGGAAGCGCTGTACATACTCTTGTGTGTGTGTGTGTGTGTGTGTGTGTGTCGCCAGTTTCGGAGGCGACAGGACCTGGAGCGCCATTTGAAGCACTGCCTACCTCTCCCCTAACCTCTCTGACAGTACCTCCCTTTGGGGAGCGGCGTGGCCATTTCTGGCAGCTGTCAATAGTAGTAGTAGTAGTGTGTGCGTGTGTGTGTATGTATGTGTGTGTGTGTGTGCGCGCGCGTGTGCGTGCCCTCTCTGGAAGCGCTGTACATACGCAGTTTGAAGCAAGAGCTATGTCGACAAAAGAAGCATATCAAAGTGCTGTGTCTGTTCAAGTCGCAAGAGGACTGATAACTTCATCCCGTGTTCATTCTGGTACTGCAATCCCTTCATGTGTGGTTTGCCACAATTCCCCACCGCTCCATACGTTCTTGTGGTAGTGTGAACTTGAGCTGGGTAAGAATGTCCTTGCTGATTCTGCACCCTAAGTGTAAATTCTGGCTTCATTTTCTTTATCACTCACTTTCTTTTTCTTTTTCTCTTTCTCTCTCTGTCCGTCCATCTGTTCATCTGTATTTCTGTCTGTATGTCTGTCTCTCTCTCTGTCTCTTTCTCCTTTGTCTGCCGGTATATATGAGCATGCCGACTATCTCTAGATAAATACAATTACAAATAACCGACGTAGAGTGGCAAATGGGGTGCATGATTCCATATAAAGAGTCGGCGTGGAGAAAGCAATTTTATTAGTGCAATTAGGAGTATAATCGATGCAGACATGGCCAGACAACAATGAGTTAGCTTTTTCGAGCTCCGTAGTTTTCGCAGGTTTTGTAGTAGCCAGCCGGCAGCAGGCCGGTCTGGAGAAGGGTAGGTACTAGGTAGTTAAATACGTGTAGGTAGTAGTTAGTTAGAGAAGTGTATACGTATGTAGTATGGCTGCAAATATGTCTGCAAAAGGTAGTTCTAACCTAAGCCGCGGCTCAGGCACCCCCACCGCTTTGGAGTCACGTCGAAGGAAGGCAATCACCCCTCCCGCTGCCCTGCGCACAGCTACAGGAGGTTCGTACAGTGCCTCGTTGTCTTCAGGAAATCATGAGGCCCCCGTGGACATGATGAAGGAATTTACGACGTGTATGTCCGAGTTGTTAGACGAACGGCTGGCAAACCTGGTGACACAGGTTGCAGACCTAACCACGGAGGTGACAGCTCTGAAGGCAAGACTTGGTGATCTGGAGCGGGAAAAGACGGACCTTGCCGCCACGGTACGGTTTTTGACAGACGACGCCAGCAATACAGCAGTGCAAGGCGGACCAGTCAGTGCACCATTGACCTCTGACGCGGCAAATGCAGGACCGGTAGTTCAACTCGAACCATACAACCTCTCCGACATCATTGCAGAGGAGGTTGAGAGGTCCAACCGTACTACCAGCGTCATAGTACGAGGACTGCCTGCATCATGGAATGAAACCCTATCCCTGCATTGCAGTACTCTGTTCAAATGTTCGACCTCTGACCTGCTGGAAGTCGAACGTTTGCGCCCACGCGCTACTGAACATGAGACTCCAGCGCCAGGTCCAGCTCCTGTCAGAGTACGCTTTGGAAACAAGCGCCTCAAGGCGTCAGCGTACAAGGATCGCCTTGGCCTGAAAGTGAATGGACATGATGTGTACGTCAACAACGACCTGACTCGACAACAGCAAACGAAGCGGAAGGCAGTACTACTGAAGTATAAGCAACTTCGAGCCAAAAAGGTCAAGTGCTCTCTGCCTTATGACGTCATATTGGATGACAAAGGGACACCTCTCTCTGACAATGCCATCCAGGATCTGCTGTCTGCCCAATCGGACATATCAGGGAACCCCCAGCCAGACAACCGCGCCGTCCTCAAAGTTGCTCATGTAAACATCTGCAGTCTACGAAACAAAGTTCATGAAATCCATCATATCCTGCATGCCAATAAAATTCACATCATGTCAATTAATGAAACCTGGCTAGACAGCTCAGTATCAGATTCCCTGCTGAACATCCCTGGATATCGGATATATCGGAACGACAGGAACCTAAGGGGCGGAGGTGTGTGCTTGTACGTCATGTCTAGTCTCCGCGCTCGTCTCATCATGCCCGCATCCAACACACATCTGGAGTCGTTGTTTGTGTCAGTTCGCATTGCACGGGAGCCAGATGCGTGTAAGCTCCTCGTGAGTTCAGTCTACCGCCCACCGAGCTCTGGTACAGAATTCTGGGAGCAGTACAGTGCCCAGTTGGATGGCATTTTCGTGGACAGCTCTGACCTGCTAGTTCTGGGAGACTTGAACACGGACATCTTACAACCGACTCTACATCATAATCAGCATCTACTTAAGCTTTGTGCAGAGCACCAGCTGCAGAACATTGTCCACGCACCAACTAGAGCGCCGTCAAACACGTGTCTTGACCTGGCTCTGTTGAACACTACCTTTCCATTGCCCAATCCAACGATCATTCCCATGTCAGATCTTACTGATCACCACCTAGTCCGCCTTGATATTGTAATACCGGAATGGAAGCCCCCAGAAACCCAGAGAACTAAGGTTGTGAGAAAACCAGGAATAGCTACTATCAACTACTCTCAGTTTAATGCTGACCTGAATAATATGCTCGAGGACTCATCCTCATTTTCAACATTGGACAGTCAAACTTGCCATCTTCTAACGTCTATTGCTGCTGTTACTGATACGCATGCTCCATCTAAACAAGTTAGACTACCCCTCTGTCCCAAACCTAAGCCTCAACCGTGGGCAACACCAGAGTTACGGAAACTGCTGCAGCGCAGAACTACTCTGCATCGTAGAGTCCTTTCGCAGCCTGGGAATATGGTTCTTAAGCAACAGTATCGTTCTGTCAGACGTGAGGGGACGCTTCTGAGTAGGAGACTGAAATCCCGTTTCCTGATGCACCAGTTCTCGGCACTCCGACGAAATCCTAGAGGTCAGTGGGCTCTTCTTAACAGTCTGTCTGGCAGGCGGAAAGTAAGAAATCAGCCAATTGCATCTCTCAGTAGTCTGACAGAGACATTTGCTAACATAGTGCACGATCCAAGCCGGCCTGCTGACATATGTTTACGCCCAGCCACCCAACAGCCAACTACTGCTGCTCGACTGTCCCATTTTCGACCCGTAACTGTGGCGCACATCACCACACTGCTCAAAGCAACAAACACAAGTAAGTCACCTGGCTCTGACAACGTCTTACCAGCCGTACTGAAGCATGGTCGTGATTCCATAGCAGTTTCTCTCACTGATATTATCAATAAATCTCTGAGCACAGGGTGCGTACCAGATATTTTCAAGAATGCCACAGTCAGCCCAGTTTTCAAATCAGGCGATGCAGAAAGCTCTACTAATTACAGACCAGTCTCATTATTGCCCATATGCAGCAAGATATTAGAACGAGTTGTCTTGGAGCAGCTGATTGCATTCTTTAAGTTACACAACATCATGTACGTGCCTGACAATCAATTTGCCTACCGTACCAACAGCTCGTGTGAGGACTGCCTAGCGCTAGTGGTCGACGAATGGCTCCAAGCCCTTGATAACAACGAGTACTGCGGCATAGTGTTTGCAGATATGAGCAAAGCTTTTGACCGAGTTAAGCATCAAGAGCTCATTGACGAGTTGAAGATGCTTGGCATTGCTGACACTGCACTTGCTTGGTTTGCAAGCTACCTGACCAGACGCGTCCAGCGAGTAAGAGTAGGACAACAGCTAAGTGGGGCCCGCCCTTGCACAAGAGGCGTCCCACAAGGCTCCGTGCTCGGCCCATTGCTATTTTGCATTTACACCCGTGACGCACCACAGTGCTTCCAACATGCATTAAATCAACTTTATGCCGATGATATCACACTCTATATCAGGCACAAGTCCATCCAGATCATCACAACCCAGCTGAGTGCTGACCTTGCCGCTCTGGACCGCTACCTAGATCAGAAGGGATTGGTGTTAAACCCCTCCAAGACTCAGTTTGTCCTGCTCAGGCGACCGAGCACGGAGCTGCCACCTGGCACCGCAGTCACCTGCCGGGGCACTTCCATAGTCCCATCTGCTTACGCTCGGTACTTAGGAATACTGGTTGACGAACATCTGTCTTTCTCAACCCAAGTGGATGCAGTATGTGCAAATGTCAATAGGAAGGTTGGAGCATTTGTCCACGCAAAGCAGAATATCAGCATTTTTGGCAAACGACTTTTCTATTTATCGATCATTCAGTCCACATTTGAGTTTGGCAGCACTGCATATATTCATTGCTTATCACAAGCCCTATATGACAAGCTTCTTACTGCCAGCCGCGTAGCATTAAAGAGAATATTTTCGTTGGATAGAATGACTCCCACCACTCTTCTATACAGTCATACTAACTTGTACGCCCTTGAGAAACGCCTCAACTTCAAAACCTATGTATTTGTTTACCGCTGCCTGAATGGACTTGCTAGTCCTCTTCTGCGAGACCGCTTTACCTTGCGCGCCCATGGTGCTCGCACTGCAGCCACCACCCGTGGCCAAGTCTCTGCTGCTCTTGTTCTGCCCCCCGCTAACACCCGATATGGCTTTAGTGCAATTTCTTATTTGGGCGCTGCCAGGTGGAATACACTTCCACCGGCTTGCCGCATGTCTAGTTCACCAGCTGAATTTCGCTCATCCATCAAATTATACCTAGGGTTCCCTGTAAAAAGGCGCTGACGCCTGTTGGGAATTCCCTAGTAAAAGAAGAATAAATAATAAAATAATAATAATTCCCTGCCCCGACTATTTCTGACGAAGCAGTCTGCAACTTTATTACAGTATACATGGAAAAAAATGCTGCATGAACTGATCACATGTACTCAGTCATAAACTCATGGGTTTTCTTACCTCCAGTTGGAGTCATTAAGCATTCATCTCTGTCATAGAAATATGTTTCCTACAGAACATATTGATCAAGTACACAGAAAATGACAAAACTGGAACTGAATAAAACTGGAAGAGACATACTCAACTATAGCAGCAGAGTAATGGCATGCGTGTAACACAATTATCTGAAAACTACAATACATGTATAGCACAATAATAATGACATGGAGCGAGATGGTGGCTGAAGCATACCTGGTGGTAAACATATTCAAGACTACACAACGCTCTCTAAGCTGAAAACTTTTAAAAAGGTATGAGAGTATGGCGATATAGATGTGTACCTGCAGGCACGACAGAGGCTTTAATTCCCGTAGCTATGCAGAAGACGTTACTTCAGTAACGTCTGGCGCTAGCCAGGGTCCACACAGCTTTAATTCCCGTAGCTATGCAGAAGACGTAACTCCAGTAACGGCTGGCGCTAGCCAGGGTCCACACAGCTTTAATTCCCGTAGCTATGCAGAAGACGTTACTCCAGTAACGGCTGGCGCTAGCCAAGGTCCACACAGCTTTAATTTGGTGTTTGTGTGTTTGTGTCACGCCTGGCGCTATCCCGTATCTGTCCCGTACCGTACCGTACCATCAAACACAGCTGGCCACATACAGCTGGCCGCAATATTCAAATAGGGCTTTCAAACGCAAGATCATAACCTGAAGCAACTTGGAAGAATGAGTATGGATGCGAAGTGTATGAGGGAATGCATGTAGGGCGATAGTGCGGGTTCGAATCCCAGGTTATGCTTAAAAAATAGGAGAATTGAAAATTTTATAACATCCCTATGCCTTTTTTGCCTAGGTCATCAAGGCGGTAGACGGTGTCTTATTACCCTCGACTGTACCTGTCCCGTACCGTGCCATCAAAGACGGCCGGCCACAATGCATATTCAAATAGGGCTTTCAAATTCAAGATCATAACGTGAACCAACTTGGAAGAATTAGTATGCATGCGAAATGTATCGGGGGATGCGTGCAGGGCGATAGTGCGGGTTCGAATCCCAGGTTATGTCTTAAAAGAAGGAAACATTTATATGAATTTATAACATCCGTATGCTTTTTTTTGTCTAGGTCATCAAGGCAAAAAAGCATAGCGTAGGACCCTGAGCTTCCAAGCTCTCTCGTTTCTTAATTCTTTATCATTGACTCTCAGAGGCAGGGGCACTATTCGAGACAGGGGCACTATTCGAGACAGGGGCACTTTTCGAGACAGGGGCACTATTCGAGACTGGGGCACAATTCGAGACAGAGGCACTATTCGAGACAGGGGAACAATTCGAGACAGGAGCACGATTTCAGAGAGGTCACTCTTCGAGAGAGGGCTCTAAACAAAATTCGGCTAAGAAGGTGGGTGATGCGTGCAGATATGTCCCCACCATCGAAGATTCAGCAGTGCCGCCTGCACAAAAGACCACCGACCCTGCCCAAATCTGATAATTGACATTTAATGCTGCAAGGGTTAACCTTTATCCTCCCAACGTTCCCATGCTATAGAGACATAGTGAAGTGATGCAACTTGAACTTACCCAGATCCAGGAGACTGTTTCTTTACCAGAGTGAACACAATGCCTCCAATCAATGCGACCAGCAGCAAGGTGCCTATGACTAGGCCTGCCACTTGACCACCGGTTAAGCTTGACTTTCCATTAGGAATATCCACTTCTCCAGTCAAACAAAGTCAAATGAAGGACACCAGACCAGAACACACACACACACACACACACACACACACACACACACACACACACACACACACACACACACACACATACACACACACACACACACACAACAACATACCAGCGCGCATACACACATGCAAACACGCACACACACATACACACACATACATATGCACACGCACACACACACACACACACATGCACACACAAACGCACACACACACACGCACACACACACACACACGCACACACACACACACACACACACACACAAACACACACACACACACACACGTATGCATGGCAACAAATCAACATGCCTCGGTGAATACAAATTACGCAAACCCTTCAGCACATGGTCATTTCCAAAACTGCAACAGATTGACATCAATGGCAGGAGTGGGAGTATGTACTCTTGCAATTAGCATACCAATTTCAGCTAACTTGTCGTATGGGTCATAAGTTAAGTAGTGCAGGAATAACAAGAGCTTGCCTATCATACTCTTTGAAAAACGAAACAATTAGAAGAAGGTGCGCATGATGTCAACGACCATCAGCAACATGCACAGCCTCATGGTGGCTGTCTTCCTCACCGTCCTGAAAATCATACATACAGTAGAGTACAGAACAACAAGGATAGTCAAGGCTTGTTTGCTGCTACTTCAAGTTTCACACTCTCGCAATCATCAGGTAACAGAGGGGGGGGGGGCTGATGATTGTGAGAGCATGAAACTTGAAGTAGCACCAAACAAGCCTTGATTGTCCTTGTTGTTCTCTATTTCGCTCTGCCTCCGCGGTGTTGGGTACATCCTTCGCTGACACAGTACAGTAAAAAAGAAGATTTTGTAGAATCTTGCACTTGAAAACACCGCCCTTCCGGCAACAGGCTCTCAGCTGTACCAAATAAATAACTTTTCAGCGCGAAATATTGGCAAAGTTATTTATTTGGTGCAGCTGAGAGCCTGTTGCCGAATTAGCGGTGTTTTCAAGTGCAAGAAATGCGCTGCAATGAAGTTTGGGAATTCTGAAGAAACGTTTTGTAGAATCTGGCCATTCATTACGTATAATGTTGTTGATATACTTGAACAATCACTTCTTCTCATTGCCTCTGCCTCCGCCGGGCCCCAAAGCACAACCGTCCTGCTCGCCATCATCATCATCATCATCATCATCATCCTCATCATCATTACCACCTTCACCTGTCAAGCTCAACTCTCCTAGTACATGTAACAGATCACCTGGGTTTTCATCATTGCTGCACACTCTGCTTCTATACTCCTCTTCCCGCAACTGTCATGCAACTTGTACTTTCATCATTTCCATCAGTCATGAATTACATTGATAATTGTGGCAAGATATCGTTCAGAAAACTTTCAATTGTTGCTAAGATTGTGATATGAGTGCCCACCTAGTTTATTTCATTACTGGTGAGTGCGTATTATGTGACCCTGTTCTATGCAAGCAAAAAGAAAATGTTGTAGCACTCACACTTTTCAAATAATACGCACTCACCAGGTTTGTCCACACGCACTCACACCTGCCACATTCATCTACTGCTACCATTCTCAGATACACTGCAAACGTTCACGCTACACGCATTATGCATAACCGCAAGCTGTGCTGCATTCTCACGCTTCTTTTCATATTACTCTAGCTATATAACTGGTAGTTTTAGTGATTCTTACTATGTGACGATGTTCCACTGATGATAGTCACACGAAAACGTTCTGGACTTGTTTCATTGTAATTGTTTTAAACATGGTTATGAGTGCACAATTGATATTTTGCTATTTTTGCTATTCTGCTACAGTTTTCAGTTTTCTAGTATGCTCAACAAAGTAACAAGTTAAGGCCGATTCACAATACAACTTTCTGAGACGCGACACGCGATTTGCGACAGTTGCGACAAGAAACTGCCTGTCCCGAGCTGTCGCAAGCCGTCGCAATGCACCTGTCGCAGAAGTTGAAGAAAGTTCAACTTTTGCGACATGCGACACGCGACATACACAAATGGAGTACAGTTGCGACCCTGGGTGCACGTGCAGTGCACGTGCATAGTACTACTTGTGCGCATGAGGCCGTCGCAAACATGAAGAATATTGTGAACCGTGTGTCGCTGCCGCAGCTCGTCGCATATGTCGCAAGTCGCATCGCAGAAAGTTGTATTGTGAATCGGCCTTTAGTTTCAAATTCCAAATAATTTCTCGATCGACGCATTCTCTGTGTATACTCAAATGTGGCCGGTTCTCCACGGGACCGAAGTGGATCGACAGCGACATGTCTCACCTTGACGAAGAATCAGATCATACTCCTCTCAGCAACATATGAGCGACTTCAAGCACCTAAAAATATATCGATATATTGGTCCTTCATCCTCAAAAAGGTAAATATTAGTTTACTCTCATCATCAGTGGATAATTAGATGACATGGAGGAGTTTCTACGCATCTTTTGTACGTCGTTTTCGAGCAGTGAAATGTTCCAGAGTACGGAACTTGTGTGTTTGCCGTCATTGCCAAGGTTACGATCGCAAACACGCCACCTTCCCGCGCTATGCTTTGTTATTTTGAACATTGTTACCGAAATTAAAACCTCCCGCGGAAAATCGATGTTTCTCGTATCAAATTTGGGTGCGAAAAATCTATCTGCACCCGATGACGCAAAATCTCCATACGAACCATGATTCATATGAAAGCCAGTCCGCACGGATTCTCTGTGCCAAAAAATCGTATGGAGCACGCCTCGAAAAAATCCGTAGCGCCCTTACAGATTTTAGCACGGAAAATCGTACCCCGGAACCTCTCTAATATGGAACTAAAGTGACCTTTGCTGTTCCTGAGGGAGAGACCAAATGTACTGTTCAAAGGAGGAGTCAAAAGGCGGAGTCAACTGAACAATGGAGTAACAAGGAAAAACAGAGAGAATCAACAAGGAATATGACGATGAACTGGATGATGAGATGGACAGGAGGTGATACGGACGGTCATGATGAGATTGGCGACGACGGCAGCGTCGGGACGGAGGAGCTGGATGAAGATGGTGATAATCAGAAGTCTGTGTTTCACCGTACTTTGTCGCGCACGATATGCTCGACAATTTCGGGTGCTTGAAGCTGTGTGTATTCGTCTGTATAAGTCAGTTCTGTGTAGGCATAAGAAGCATGTAGTAGCACTCAAGTTATTATTCGTAAGTTCACACATTGCTTATTTTTGTGTTAACGTATATGGCTCACAACTATTATCTCAAGTCGTTGTTCACGCTCCTTTTTTGAGCCTTTTTTGTATAATTGTATCACTCCAAAAATCATTTTTTCCTCTGCTGTACACTATTATTCTTCAGTCAGGAAAATCCACTGATGAGAGTGACAAGAAAATCGATTTTGATTAAACCTCTTTTAGACTTCTTTGCTGTGTGGCATGACCGCGGAACTAATTATTATTCATTGCAATCATTAAATTATTGTCTCCTCGTCGCTTATTTATAATAATTATTAGGGCTGAAACGATTATACCGAATAATAGAGTACTTGTTTGATAACTCTAACGATCGATCAATCGTTTAGATTACCGATTACGATTATTTTGCGTTTTTTAAATTTGTGTCCAGAAAGTACTGTAAACCCTCGTTTTGTGAAGTTTGAATCAGTTTCCGCTGGGAGTATGCAGTTGCCAGGGGTATGGTTCATGTTCTGAGGTTAAATTGACTTCAAAACTGCCATGTTTCGGAGCTACCCTTTCACTAATACAGATTTGTTGGTATTATGAAGGCATAGTTTGTGGAAACAGAGTAGTGTTTGCACAGAATTATGACTCTGATTATAATCGAGTACTCGATCGTTAAGCTAAAGAGTAATCGATACGTGAAAATCCACGATCGTTTCAGCCCTAATAATTATTAATTATACAAAAGAGAAAGACCAAGGAACTACAAGCTACGCTATACTGTCCACTAACACCACCAGTTACTAAACAATCAGCTCACGCGATACCATTGCACGACACTGACCGACAGTACTGACGTTCTACAACTAACTGGCTAACAGCTCTAGCACATCTAGGATGCACACTCCAACAGCCTCATAGCCAGCAATCGCATGTCATCACGTACATTCAAAATCAACATAATTTTGCTATAAATCGACCTTTTTTTTCAGCATCACTTTTCAACGAGGACGACGCAAAGTCGACCGAACGAAGCCCAGAGGAAGTAAATCACCCCCTCCATTTCACCATCACGATACTGACATAGATACAAGACGAAACAACTAAAAAAGGCACAAGAAAACGGTACGGCCACCTGACTTTGGTCTGAGAATTTCTATCACGATCAAAAATGTACGAGGAGCACTCAAAATAAGCTACCGTAGTTCCAACTTGGAAGGTTCTAAGTTATAGAAATAAGATAACATAACTTGGCTCTCCATCTGAGTACAATTATTAATTAATTACTATTATCCATTATTCTCATTTAAGAGAGCATGTCTGAGAATACCAAAGTATGTGTGCAAGTGGATCTCTCCGATTTCGCTCAAAATTTGCAGGTAGGTTGCCTTTGGGGTGTGGATCGATTGTGCAAAGCCCTTGAAAAAGTTTCTGAAGGGAACCTTGAAATTTGCATACCCTCAAAAATGGCCAAAATATCACATTATTTATGGGTCTAGAAACGAGTCACGCCACAGCGTATACGAACAAGCTATGAACAAAACTCCATCAAGCCAACATTGCCTCACCTTAGAAGAGTTCCTGGAGCAGTACCGCTTAGCCACGCCAGCATCCCAGAAGACGAGGTCCATCACCCCCTGGCGCCACAAATGATCGTCTTGAAAATAGCCAATTTACAAGCGCTGGCAAAACAGCCAGATACGTCCTCAATTGGCCAGAACTATACACCGGCAGATAGTAGAACACCTCTTCTAGCGCTGAGGACATGTCCCCCATCTTCCTTTTGGGGTTTTCTTGAAATAAATTTTTTGAATTTTTCCACTCGACCATGCTGAAATACGGCCAAAGTCATACCTGCGCAGGAAAGCTCGCCCCTCCGCGACGTCTCCTCAGCAATTTCTACTCCAACACTACTACCAAGGCCGCAGAACAACGTGAAGTGTTGACTCTGACAAGGAAAAGCAGCGGTGGTCACTTGTCACTCCAAACGACAAGCTTCTCCTTGCGCCACCAATAATTTTTTGTGCGACTGTTGATGCAAAAGTGACTGAAGGCCTGAGCGCAGTTTTTGAATTTTATTGCAAGATGCACGGTGAGATCGCGTGCTCTGTGACGTACGATGACGCTTCCTGCATCACGATACGCGGCCAACGATCGTGAAAGTGCCTGGAACGCTACTCGGAACAGACCATGATGGCAGAGGTAAGATGAGCTTCATTTCCTGCTTGAACTGCTGAGTACCCCACAAACTGTCCTAATAGTGTTTCAATGGCAGCAAGCCGTTGAAATATGCCCCGTACAGCATGGAGAGTTATTTGTCTTTCACACTTACCTCCTGCAATCCCGAACATAGTCCAACAGTAAAAGTCCCTTGTTTTCATGTCGATGCTCGACAAAAGCGGCTAGCTCGGTCCCTGTGTTGACTGGCACGCAAGTAGCACTGACTGCACGCACTTGTCGCGTGAACTGCATGAGAGATTTCTTACGTCATAAAGAATGTGATTTCATCAATATTTCACTGGTCTTCGACCTACATGGTCAGGGAAAGTCCCGGTTCGTAGGCCTACAACACTCCCAGCGTGTTCTTGAGCATGAGCGCAGTAACAACACAAGTGTGATCACTTCCAGACCAACGGGCGTTGAAGGCGAGTAACAAGCGCACTGTACTTACGAAGGTGACTCTGAAATCTCGTGAGCCGTGGGCCACGCGACTTGGCATTCTTGCGTCACAAGGCACGTGATTTCACCGTGCATCTTGCAATAAAATTCAAAAACTGCGCTCAGGCCTTCAGTCACTTTTGCATCAACAGTCGCACAAAAAATAATTGGATGGCGCAACGAGAAGCTTGTCGTTTGGAGTGACAAGTGATCACCGCTGCTTTTCCTTGTCAGAGTCAACACTTCACTTTGTTCTGCGGCCTTGGTAGTAGTGTTGGAGTAGAAATTGCTGAGGAGACGTCGCGGAGGGGTGAGCTTTCCTGCGCAGGTATGACTTTGGCCGTATTTCAGCATGGTCGAGTGGAAACATTCAAAAAAGTTTATTTCAAGAAACCCCAAAAGGAAGATGGGGGACATGTCCTCAGCGCTAGAAGAGGAGTTCTACTATCTGCCGGTGTATAGTTCTGGCCAATTGAGGACGTATCTGGCTGTTTTGCCAGCGCTTGTAAATTGGCTATTTTCAAGACAATCATCTGTGGCGTCAGGGGGTGATGGACCTCGTCTTCTGGGATGCTGGCGTGGCTAAGCGATACTGCTCCAGGAACTCTTCTAAGGTGAGGCAATGTTGGCTTGATGGAGTTTTGTTCATAGCTTGTTCGTATACGCTGTGGCGTGACTCGTTTCTAGACCCATAAATAATGTGATATTTCGGCCATTTTTGAGGGGTATGCAAAAATCAAAGTTCCCTTCAGAAACCTTTTCCAGGGCTTTGCACAGTCGATCCACACCACAAAGGGAATCTACCTGCAAATTTTGAGCGAAATCGGAGAGATCCACTTGCACACATACTTTGGTATTCTCAGACATGCTCTCTTAAGTGTCTTACTGTCAGTTGTAGTACTCCCAGTACTGTAAAGAGGATAGTTTTAGCGGCTAACAAATTTATCCATTTCTGAATCAGAACCAATTAGCGATGAAATATAATATTTTAGAGGTGCGAGTTTCAGGGTTAAAACAAATTAGATTACTGGTACCGTACTGGACATGCAAATATTCGATTTTCCGTGCGGCAAATCTTTAGCGAAGACATTCCTTTTGCAAAAAAAAGCAATAATTATCCGTTTTAGTTTAGTATTAGTTATTAGTTTTATTGACAGTAGTCATTACAGAGTGAAATTGGACTGGTGTTTTCCCAACATCGGGCACATGCGCCATTGGGTCCTTGGAGTCCTAAGGGTGCAGGTGCAAGAACTGGTGTGCCAATAAGTGTGTCGTGACCCGAGGTCGACGACGCACAGCCATCCTAGCAATCTGGCAGACGAGGGGCCAGCACCAGCTGACAAGCGCTCAGCTGACTGACGGGTACGAGTCGCGCCAGCACCGCATGTGCACAGTACGGTAACTTACCGCATCTTTTCTATTCACTACGTCATTACTACTCACTACATCATTAGACATTACTACTACGTAGCCTTTATACGCACTTTAATACTACATTGTACATAATCATACAACTACTACGATGCTGCATAATCTCGCGCCTTGTCAACTGTCATAGTCTATTAACTAGTATCTTCTTCCATTCTTGCATGTTGTATCCCGCCGTTATGAGACGTTCAATCATTATGAATCTAGCTTTGTCCGTTACTTGTCCCCTTGTCCCGCCGTCTAATATGATTAGTGAGTACAGTATGTGTGCTCTGATTGGTTGTTGTTAGTTATTGTTATGAATATAAGTCCCTGTCTTTTATACGTTCGTCCTCTCGCTCCGGTACTGCTTCAATCTTGATCTCCTCTTTCTCCTCTTTACCTCTGACCTATCTACAAGGTATGTCCTTGGAAACGGAACTCTTGGTGGGCTGTTGAGTGATGGCGTGCATATATTGTGCACTTGGGATTCTGGGTCTTGCTCACACTTCGTGGCGGTCCTATTTGGTGTTGTTCGCAACGCAGGCTTTTGACTGACCCTTGGGGTCGGGTCATGACAATTGGTGCTGTGACCAGGATCCGTCACTCAATGTGAACTAATCCTCGGTTCTTTTTCTGGTGTGGCTTTTTTTGTCTTATCCAGAATGGCACAGGAAATGCTAGAGGAGTTCAACGCCCTTTCGCAAGAAGCAGGCCAGGGGCGGGAGACTCCAACCAGGCAGGCCTTGGAACGGGCGATTTCTTTGTTTGAAGGCGTGGGTCGCCCCGACCAAGGGCGACACTTGCGAAAACTAAAGGAGGACCTGGACTTCCTGTCGTTGATATCATTCAGGATATTGGGCCGGCATGCCGGTCACCGCACAGAGGAGTCGGAAGAGCCACCGAGAAAGAAAACTCGTAAAAACTCACGTAAGCCGCCTAAGAAGGACAAGGCGTCTCCTAGTGCGAAGAAGGACCAGAGTACCGACACGGAACTGCCTACAGACTTGCCGACTACCCCCGACAAGTCTGCGCCACAGTAATGTGCGGCCACTTTTATTGGACCAGATATAAATTCAATAAAAGTATTGTTATCTAAACCTGACTGCGCTCTGATCGCGTGTATGGTGAGGAATGGAGGCTAAGACCGACACTGTGGGGAAGTCTCATTTTTTTGAGATTGTTTGGTCAGAACCTGGCGGCATGTATAAGCCTTTGATACGTGAAGCAAGGAACCTGGGCATATATCTAGAACCGACAAGTAGTGTACTCGCAAGAGGGCTGGTTCGGGATATAAATAATCGGCAGTCACATTGACATACAGGGTTGGGTCTCTGGAGTCACGCTGGTTCAGCGGTAAGAACGGGTATAGGTGTGTAACATATTTTTACACAGTGCCATCACCGGTGGTATATCAGGAGCTGCAGTTTGAACTACTTCTTCATGGTCATGCAGTCACTAGAATGAAAGTGGTCGTTGTTCACTTTTCTTTCTGGAAATGAATGGAGATGCTGTCCTCTAGTCAGGCAAGGCTAAGACACAGCATATTCAAGAGAGGACACACAGGCTGACGAGAACGCCAGCTGGTGTAATGTGTGAGAAGTGTTGCAACACACGCGGGTAAAACACACTACATGTACCGGCTTAGGACGGTGTATCGGGAGGCACGGAAGGGAGATGACAAGTCCTAGAGACGGCAGGCTCAGGGACACTCAGCGGAAACGCCGAGTGACCCAAGAATCCAAAGAAAACTGGAAGGAATTGAACTAATCAGTGCTCCTGGTCGAAATAGGACACACAGGACTAAGGCAATGGGCCGGGAGATCCTCACTAAGTAAAAGGATCACTCGGCAGCTTTCGGGTCAGGTCACTCGGGGCGAGTCTAAGCCCGGCTGAAGGGGAACGTCGTGTACGAGTGTACCAGACTAGGAAAGAAGGCACTCTGGTCGAGCCTGAGATGAGAGGGGCGTCGTGTACGAGTGTACTAGACATCCAAGGATGGAGGGATTGAACGGATTCAGGCGCGCCACGGTGCGTTTTGAAATCGTTTTGGAAAGAGGCCACTATGATCGACCCTGAGCCCGGTTGAGGGGGGGCGTCGTGTACGAGTGTGCTAGGCATCCAACTGTAGGGGAAAAGGAACTCTGGTCGACCCTGAGCCCGGTTGAGGGGGGCGTCGTACGAGTATACTGGACACATTGGAGAGAAGGCACTCTGGTCGAGTCTGAGCCCGGTTGAGGGGGACGTCGTGTACGAGTGGACTTATCGTCCAAAACCACAGGAATTAAACGGCTTCAGGCGCGCCATGGTGCGGTTGAGAACGAATTGGGAGGCAACACGGTTTCAAATGCGACATGGCGCGTTTGAAAACCGAGAGGCACAGGGGTTGACGTGCATATCTCTGAAGAGACTGTCACGTGGCGAGCAGCTGTAAGGATTGGCGTACGCGTATACGGTGGACAAGGCATGAGATATGGGAGCGCAGTGCACGGCGCACGGCCCAGGCGTGGGTACCCCTAGCTGACCTCGAGCCCATCGTCCCGTACCGGACGAGGTCAGTGGACGTGGCACGGGATCAGCGGGATATAAGGCCAAGTTTTTGGGCAGAAGGGTATCATTCCTTCGGGATACCTGAGAGGCAACCATTGAGCAGATCTTCTGCAGGCGCTACTTTCTTTTGTTGTGACCTACTCTACTGAAAGACCATGTCTGACGGTGAACAGGTAGAACAACAGGCTTCAAGCCAGGCTCTGGCGGGAAGGGAGAGATCCCTACCTGCTCCAAAACCACGTCCGGAGAAACCCGTCATTATGCCTGAGGCATTCGACGGGGTGACCCGGGAATGGCCGGAGTACCTTGCGTACTTCAAATCTTGCGCTGAGCTCAACCAATGGGAAGATCAGCAAAAGGCTATGTTCTTGGGGGTGCGTCTGAGAGGGACACCTTCACGATTTTTTTCCACTATGGAGACGGGCCGCCAGTCAAACTGGCAACACCTGTGCGAAGACATGGGAAAGCGCTTTGCGCCGGCAAGTGAAGCTGCGAAGTATAAATCGCAGTTTAGAGCTCTGAGACGAGGCCCAGGCGAAGCCATTCCGTTAGTCACGGACGAATTACGTAAGCTGGTGACTCGGGCTTACCCGACAGCCACAGAGGACTTGAGGGAGGAACTGGTCCGCGACCAGTTCATCGAGGCCATGACACCGGCCAGGCTCAGAACGAGGCTCCTAGAATTAGCTCCAGTCACCGTACAGGCGGCTGAACAGCAGGCACTACACCTCGAAAGGGTGTGGGATTCACACGACATGGGTATACCCCGTCATGCTAGGATATTGGAGGAAGATAACCCTCCTATGTTAGTGGCTGCGGCAACCCGGGAGGAACCCTGGAGTCGTATGTCACGTACTCTGGACCAACTGGCCGAAAGGCTAGATCGCATGGAAAACCGAGGAAACCGAGCACGCGGACCATTTATGGGGTCGTGCTTTACATGTGGGGAGAAGGGCCATAAGGCATATGAGTGTTCTAACAGAACACGGGGTGGTGCACCAAACCGACACCAGGCGGGAAACGGACAGTGACCGGGGCGCGGGATCAGCCCTTGGCCGCACATTGCCCAGATCCCAAACCAGGCCCATCCGCCGGTGGTTCCCGGAAACGGGAGACCTCAGGTATGACGGTGCCAGGGTTGCTTAACGGACGGAAAATCCACATGTTGGTGGACACAGGTGCGTCAGTAAGCTTGCTTGCGGCACGACGATTAGGCGAATTCGATATCGAGCAGGAGGATATACTCCCTCCTCCGGATAACCCGGTATTTGGCGCTGGAGGGGATGCTCTCCAGATTGTTGGAACCAGTATTGTAACACTGGAGATTGGACAGGCTACGTGCTTGCACGAAATATGGATTGTAAACCATTTGCATCAAGAATGTTTGTTGGGACGTGATGTTCTGGCGAAAATTCCCTGCAAGATACAGTCTGATGGACAAAATCTGAATTTTTCAGCAGACAAGGCCACGGTTCATACCGTCAAACCAGAACGGATACCTCTGTCCTTACGGAAGCGTGTGACAATACCACCTCAACACGAGATGGTGGCATGGGCGTCTTTACCGAGCGACCTGGGAATTAACCCGGGTCAAGGCTACCTAACCGAACCTGATCCGAGCCTAGGAGAGGAGTTTGGGGTTTTGGCGGCGTACACGATCACTTCCCCGAAGGGAGGGGTGGTCCCAATACGTCTGATCAACTGTTCAGACGAACAGGTGATCGTTGAAAGGGATGTCTCTGTGGGCACATTGTGTCCTTTCGAGACTGTACAGACGGTTTTTCCGGCTGCTGATGACACGGAAACTGTCCCAAACATGGACCACTGGGAGGACGCACCGTCGTCCGCCGAATTGTGGGAGGCTCTACATGTTGGTACGGATGGCATGTGTCCAACCGAGTTGGAACAGCTGCGGGCAGTGGTAGAAGACCACAGGGACGTGTTTGCATTGGACGCAACTGAACTCGGACGGACACATGTCATGGCTCATGGCATTGAAACTAATGGGGCTGCACCGGTCTACCAACCGGCGCGGCGTATGGCTTGGACCAACAGGTCCACAGCCAGAGACATTGTGGACAAAATGCGAGATCAGGGGATCGTGGAGGATTCCACGAGCCCTTGGTCGGCACCCATCGTGCTGGTGGGGAAGAAGGATGGCTCTACACGGTTTTGTGTAGATTACAGGCGGTTGAATGACTGCACGACCAAGGACCCGTTTCCCCTTCCGCGGATGGATGATACTCTTGATGCGTTGGGGGGAGCGAAGTACTTCTCTACGTTGGACTTATGCTCTGGGTACCATCAGTTACCTATGAAGCCAGAGGACAAGGAAAAAACGGCTTTTTCCACACCTGATGGACACTACCAATTTACGGTTATGCCCTTCGGTGTGTGTAATGGACCTAGCGCATTCCAGCGCTTGATGGGTGCAGTCCTTAAAGGACTACAATGGCAAACTTGTCTGGTCTATCTAGACGACATCATTGTTTTTGGACGTACATTTCCGGAACATTTGGACCGCCTCAAGGCGATTTTTGCTCGCCTCCGGGCAGCGAACCTGCGGCTAAAACCTTCGAAGTGCTTTCTCTTCCGGGAGAAAGTAAACTTCTTGGGGCATGTGGTCACCGCTGACGGTGTCCAGACGGACCCGGCGAAGATCCGGGACATTGAACAGTGGCCGCCCATACGGACGGTAGGGCAACTCAGGACCTTCCTAGGGTTCAGTGGCTATTATCGCCGGTTTGTGCGAGACTATGCGTCTATTGCAAAACCCCTGCACGCGTTAACACATAAGGGAGTCACTTTCCAGTGGACTTCAACATGTGAGGAAGCTTTCAACAAGCTTAGACAAACTCTGGTTGAGGCTACTACGCTAGCGTATCCCAGATTCGGGCCGGGGGATCCCCCATTTGTGTTGGATGCAGACGCCAGTGGCGTTGGATTGGGTGCTGTGCTCTCCCAGCCGGATAAGGATGGCAAAGAACGGCCAATAGCATTTGCTAGTCGGCTTTTGAATTCCGCTGAGCGGCGATATGGCAGCACTAAGTGCGAACTATTGGGCATGGTTTGGGCAGTGAAGCACTTCCGTTGCTATCTCTTGGGCCGCGAGTTCTTGATCCGAACGGATCACAGAGCATTGCAGCATTGGGGCCGGTTTAAGGATCCCCCAGCAATTATTGCACGATGGCTAGAATTCTTAGCGGAATTTCAGTTCTCCGTACAATATCGTCAGGGACGAGCGCATGCAAATGCAGATGGGCTATCTCGGTGCAAGGAAAAACCGGAAGTTGTGGCGGCTGTTGCCGCCACAACTCCCGTTATACCTTCACCGTTTGTGCAAAGGAGGGACTGGTCTCACACTAATTGGGCTCAAGCTCAATCAGAGGATGGGGACATCTCACAGATGGGAAAGTGGCTTGCAGAATCCGCCGAGGATCCTGACCTGAATGGGACGAGCCCCGCGCTCCATGCTTATTGGCGAGGTCGCCAACTCTTTCTTGTTAAGGAGGGAGTGGTGTATCGACGTTGGCTAAACGCGGAAACCCTGGAAAGTAGGTTACAAATACTTGTGCCTACGAAATTGAGGCCTGAGGTACTCATCGAGTACCATGACATGGCAGGACATGCGGGCGTACGACGAACGTATGAACAGCTACACCGCCGGTTTTACTGGCATGGCATGAAACGGGATGTGCAGGACTGGGTGGCCAGCTGTGTGTCCTGTAGCGAGAAGAACAGGCCGGTTGGCCGTGGCCGTGGAGCTAGTCTCCAATCCTCGTGGGCGGGTTATCCGTTTGAGAGGATAGCAATGGATTTGATTCCCGGGCTACCTGAAACACAGAATGGCAACAAACACATATTGGTTGTGGTTGACTACTTCTCTAAGTGGGTAGAAGCTTATCCCTTGAAGAGAATGGACGCACTTACGATTGCTTCGGTTTTCGTGAGTGAATTTGTGGCTAGGTTTGGGGCACCCGAAAGGTTGCATACTGACCAAGGCAGGAACTTTGACTCAACCTTGTTTAAGGAAGTCTGCTCACTATTGGGTATTCGGAAAACTCGGACAACGGCGTACCATCCAGCTAGTGATGGGTTAGTTGAACGGTTTAATCAGACCCTTGAGGTCCAGCTCTCTCACTACGTAGATGATACGCAGCGAGACTGGGATACCCAGTTACCGGCAATGTTGATGGCCTATCGGGCTACTCCACAGACAAGCACGGGATATACTCCGGCTTATCTGTTGTTTGGACGGGAACTATGTCTCCCTAATGATGTGGCCTATGGGGTTCCCCCAATGACCCGGATGGATGAATCGTCAACGTATGTCAAGGACTTACGACAGCGGTTGAACCACGCACACAGTGTAGTGCGTAAGAAACTAGGCGTTGTACACCAACACCAGGCGCACTTGTATGACTCGGGCGCAGTGATGGTTGGGTTTGAACCAGGAGATCTGGTATGGCTCTTAGTTCCAGCAGTACATGTCGGAACTACTCCTAAGCTGGCAAGGCTATGGAAGGGACCGCACCAGGTCCAGGATAAGTTGTCTGACGTGGTATATCGCATTGTCGGTACGGTCGGAGACAAGACCAGGAGACAGGTTGTACATGTCAACCGGTTGAAGCGGTGCTTCGTGCGCCCTGAGCGGCTACTTCCAGTTGTGGAGGAGGATACGGAACCCACAGGCACACTGCCTGACGGTCCAGGAACCACCGATACTCGGGCTGACGGTTATGTGCCAGACGCCACGGACCGGTTGTATGAAACAGATCTGGCTTCAAATTTAGCGGAGTCCTTCTGCGACAACGGCCCGGCTTGTAGTAGCCCTCCTTCGGACCGCCCTCCTGCAGGGACCTCCCAAGATGAAAGGCTTGAGAATGCTCCGGTTGTGAGTGGATTGCCTCATGAAGGGCGGTGGTCGGAACCTTCTCATAATGAGATAACACCCGACGGCGACGGGCGCCCCAGGCGTTCTTTAAGACGGCCAGCTTACCTGAAAGACTATGTCTAGAAGAAGCGTAACAGCCCGTAGGGGCAGGATATGCGATGGCCGCTAGCGGCAGGCTGTACTAAGTTGTACCTAGTACTTCATTTCCTCTCTTTCTTCCCCTCTTTCTCCCCTCCTCTCTCTCTTTCCCCTTTTTGTCTCTCGCTAGGTATCCATCTCTCTCTCTCTCTCTCTCTCTCTCTCTCTCTCTCTCTCTCTCTCTCTCTCTTTCTTTCTTTCTTTCTTTCTTTCTTTCTCTCTCTCTCTCTCTCTCTCTCATCCTCTTTTAGATCTTCCACTATCGATATGTCTATCTCTCTCTCTCTCTCTCTCTCTCTCTCTCTCTCTCTCTCTCTCTCTCTCTCTCTCTCTCTCTCTCTCTCTCTCTCTCTCTCTCTCTCTCTTCTTTCTATGTTTGTCTAGTACATGTGGTGTGTAGGTGTATGTGTGAGAATGGTGTACGTCTTTTACTGGCCGTGGACACGAGGACGTGTGCAAACCTGAGACGACGGGGGGAAGTGTCGTGACCCGAAGTCGACGACGCACAGCCATCCTAGCAATCTGGCAGACGAGGGGCCAGCACCAGCTGACAAGCGCTCAGCTGACTGACGGGTACGAGTCGCGCCAGCACCGCATGTGCACAGTACGGTAACTTACCGCATCTTTTCTATTCACTACGTCATTACTACTCACTACATCATTAGACATTACTACTACGTAGCCTTTATACGCACTTTAATACTACATTGTACATAATCATACAACTACTACGATGCTGCATAATCTCGCGCCTTGTCAACTGTCATAGTCTATTAACTAGTATCTTCTTCCATTCTTGCATGTTGTATCCCGCCGTTATGAGACGTTCAATCATTATGAATCTAGCTTTGTCCGTTACTTGTCCCCTTGTCCCGCCGTCTAATATGATTAGTGAGTACAGTATGTGTGCTCTGATTGGTTGTTGTTAGTTATTGTTATGAATATAAGTCCCTGTCTTTTATACGTTCGTCCTCTCGCTCCGGTACTGCTTCAATCTTGATCTCCTCTTTCTCCTCTTTACCTCTGACCTATCTACAAGGTATGTCCTTGGAAACGGAACTCTTGGTGGGCTGTTGAGTGATGGCGTGCATATATTGTGCACTTGGGATTCTGGGTCTTGCTCACACTTCGTGGCGGTCCTATTTGGTGTTGTTCGCAACGCAGGCTTTTGACTGACCCTTGGGGTCAGGTCATGACAAGTGAATTTGGAGAATGAAATTGGGTATTGCAAGCAAAGTGAAGTGAAAAAAGAAAATCAGTGAAACTAAGTGTGAGATCCAGCATCACAATTACCCCATCACAATCTTGTATCAACTTGAAAAGAGGAGTTATTAATTATTTATTACTTACAGGTGCTGTTGAAAGTTGTCGTGCTCCCAGTACTCATAACTGAGTCGGATTGGGCGGGGGTTTCCCCAATATCAGGCACAGATGACGTTGGGTCTGCACCACCATCTGATAATGGGGCTAACGTGCTTGTTGCGGATTGGTTCAAATCTGGGGCTAACGTGCTTGTTGTGGATTGGTTCAAATCTGGGGCTAACGTGCTTGTTGCGGATTGGTTCAACATGCTTGTCGCGGATTGGTTAAAAGCTGGGGCTAACGTGCTTGTTGCGGATTGGTTCAAATCTGGAGCTAAAGTTCTTTCTTCAAGCGTAGATGTGTCTATAAGTGAATTTAGAAAATGAAATTGTGCATTCCAAAGAAAGTGAAGTGAAAAAATCTGACATTGCGGGCCAAACCATGGGCGTCAGAAATTAGCTTTGAAATGGTTAATATGGGTTTTCACCTATCGATTACTCGTTATCTTAACCATGGATTAATCAATTTTAATAGATAACAAACAGTGTCTGACATTGCAGGCAAACAATGGGCGTCCAAACTAGGATTAACACGACCATGGGTTTTCAACTATCGATTACTCTTTAGCTTAACGATGGATTAATCAATATTATTTTAGTAGTTAACAAAATTAATAGTGTCTGACGAATTGCAGGCAAACCAAGGGCGTCCAAACCTGGTGTTGAAATGATCATTGGTATTCACCTATCAATTTTTCTTTAGCTTAACGATGGATTAATCAGTTTTAATAGTTAACAATTAGTGTCTGGATTTTGTACAATATTTTCTCTTTTCCACAAGTTGTATCTTAATAAAACCAAACATCTGCATATGAGAGGCATCACAGACATTGTACCGCACAATTTAAATGCTAGTTACACAAACACACTTTGCGGCGAACTTCATCCCTGTGTTCAGTACGATACGTTCGGTCACGGTGAGGAAGGATGTCCTACATCCCACCTATTGAGCCACTTGGTCTACCAATTTGAGTGCCGGAATTGTGATAGCCGGTACGTTGGTAGGACCCTTCGACACCTGAGTGCACGTATCAAACAGCACGTACCACTTCACATGGTGCCGGACCCAGGAAAAGTGAAGCACCCTAAGCGGTGAAGACCACACAAGAACCCGCTCCCTCTACCACCGACACAGCCAGAGCAAGTCAAACACACGGTGCAGAGGAAGAGTGGTGGATCACTAAGCCAACCGAATGTGCCTTCTCCACCGTTGCCCTTGCCGCCACCGGAGCCACCACCAGTGCTGTTGGTGGCTGGGGTTGGGGTGGAGTCGGCAACAACGACAGTACCGCCAATCGCAGAAATTGATCCCATTTCTTTGACACAGTATCCGGTTGTGAGGACACCGCAGCACGCTCCGGCGCTTGATCCGTGGGTCCAGAGACCACGGAGGTCGACCGCTAATTATTCAACCGAAATATATGCTAGGAATGGTCAAGGCCCACTCGTAACAAGTTCCTCCCGCCGTTGTTTTCAAGAAACATGCAGGATACTACATGTGCAGTTTTGGTGGAAGCTATCAAGGTGCCGGAATCACGCACACACATACACGCAAGCGTGCGGGTGCGAGCACACACACACACCGACACACACACCGACACACACACACACCGACACACACACACACACACACCGGCACACACACACACACACACACTATACGTAAGCTAATTGCTAACCTGTGCAATTAAATCCATCGCCAGTAAATCCAGGATCACAGGTGCATAAAAAGCTTCCCAAAGTGTTGTTACATTGTGATGATGTACCATTACACATGGTGTTACACTCATCGATATCTATAAGAGGAATAGATTAACACACATGGGTCAATCAACCAGGTACAAGTACAAGTACTACTTCCTCAACTATTATTCGCATTCACAACAGGCAGGAGGAGTTCAGAATAAACTGTTTCAATTTTGCAGGAGTCAATACATGTAAGTAATTACCCAAATCAAGGAACATGGCAAATATTCCATTTTGCTCAGAGTTGATTCCTTTAATCACCTGGTGAATCTCATTTACTGCCCATGACAGTTCTGTCCAGAGACTCTCAATATTGGGGATAGTTGGAAAAAGTCAAAATTGGAGTAAAATACACATTGAACGAGGGATCACTGCTTCTCAGAACAGAGAAGCGGATCCAAACTGCTAACCAGTGTACTAACCAGTGCAAGAAGGTGCAGTTCCATTAAATCCCGTTTGGCATTCACATTTGTAACTCCCAACTGTGTCAGTGCAACTGGTACTCTTGTCTTTGCACAGAGTCAAGCATTCATTGATATCTGCGAAAGGAAAAAAACATGGGGTATTTACAAGAAACAAGAAAAAAGTAAGAGGCTACTCATGATGTGTGCAATGTGTTGAGGCTGTCAGAAGGCTACATCTCTTAGTTATCATGCACTTGTGACTTTTGTGTCTTGCACCTTTTTGTGCACATTTTCAAAAAAAGAAATCACACCTACCTCCTCCGTTAATAAACAAAACTTCGTGATGGATTTCTCAGGGATTGGTTTGTGCACAAACTGCCATGAGAAGAGTCGCGATCACTTTCTCATGCCATGAAAGAGGTATGATGCAAGGAAAGCGACCTTTCACGACAAGTCGAGCGGAACCCATGGCTGTACTGTGGCAACAAAGGTAATGGCAGCCATGGCAAGCGAAACTGTAATACCACTTCTCTGAAGGGAGAATGCGCTGCACGCTTGGCCTCCCTGCTACTCTAGCACTGAGTTCGAGAATGATAGAGAGCAATGGAACGGAGCAACGAGCCTACACAATGAGCGAGTGAACAAGCAGCTGCTCTGATAGCATGGCGCAATGAAATAATTCTGAATTCAAGTTCTTGTTCAACCTGCGCAAAGCCCAGATTCGAATGCTGATGACCATGCATTTTTTCAGAAACCTGCAGTCCGATGAGAGTCTCGTGGCTAAGGAAAGTCGACTAGACTTGCTAGCCGCTCCCGTTCTGTGCTGGTAGGAGTATCCATTGTAATCAGTTTGGCTGTGCATTTACTCCCACGTTTCGCAGAGCTCTGGAGATTGGAGATGAAACCAAGAGTCGGAATTTTTTTACGGCTCTCTGGCGGAAATAAGTAATCGCCACCGCAGTGGATCAAGCAGCCTGAAAGACAATTTGAATGACAATAACATCACCAAAGTTAAGCGGAGTGTGATCAAAGAAGCCGAGGAAAGGCTGAAACTAGCTGAGCATAGAGTCAAGAGAGATCACGACTTGCGTGCAGCAGATGACGACAGTGATGCAGGGTCAAAAATAAATCGAGTGAAAGCGACGCAAACTGAACTCTCTGCTCATTCTGCCAACAGTTTTTATTATAAAGACGCAATGCATGAGCTGAACTACCATCATCCAGTGATTTGCAGTCAATACAAACTGTTCTTGAACTGTTCTAACTTATAAGTGTTTTCATATCCAATAAAATCTATCACGAAGTTTTTGTTAACGGACGAAGTAATTCAAGGTCATTCATAGATGGGTAACTATTCAAGAGAGTCCACTATTTTTTCAATGCGGGTACATTTACATCATACAGTTGAACATCGATTATCCGACCACCTCGGGGCAGACAACTGTCAGGCGGTGTTCAGATAAGGCAAATGTTCCGGATAAGAAAAAACTGTCACTTACACACTTTCAGTGGTTATTACTCTAGCCGCACGACCTTTTTACTTTTTACTTTTCAAAATTTTCGTATTTTTTGAATGGCTCACTACATGCACAGTGCGTACTCTACGGCACGTGCGCCCAAAAAAACTGTTACGGATAATCGAATGGTCGGATAGTCGATGTGCGGATAATCAATGTTCAACTGTACCGCATAAAACAATTCAGGCGAGGAAAACAGAGCTTTTAGGTTCATTGTAAAATTATCACGACTCCACAAAAACAGCAACAAGAACTGCGAAACCACCAGTACATTGACAAGGACAACAACATTACCAGGAGAACACCAAACTTGCACATGCGCCTGGGGGGGGGGGGGGGGTTGCACTATTAAAGAGACGGGTTGCGCTGTCGTTTGCAATTAGAAGATCATGGCCATAATATTTCAAGTACCCCAGTCTACCAGTACATACTTTGACATTCATTTGTATCTCGGTTATAAGAATATCCAGGAAGGCATCCACAGTCAAATCTATTCTCCAGATTTTGACATGTTGCATTGGCAGGACATGGACTAGGTGAGCATTCATCAATATCTGAAAAGATGAACCACAGAAATACAGGCACACACATTGCACTTGCATAATGTCATATACACACACATCTGAACTTGAGCATTTCTGCACTTGACACAGCTCTTGGACGTGTGTTGTGATAGTACAGGGGCGTCGGAAGGCATTTTAGTGTGCTACGGTCAGCCATCTGAAAGCACAATTTACTCGTGGGGGAGGAGTGGCTCAGCCGAAAAGTTTGGAAATTTAGAGTCCAAATTTTTCCATTTTATTGATTTACGGGATACTTTGGGCAAATAGTGGTACGGTCAATACCGTAGTGACCGTACCGTGTGCGACGCCCCTGTAGTATTCTATTCTCTAGCTCTGGTCTCTGTTTTGTCACCTTTGAAGTGACAACCGTTTGGTTTCATGCTTGTCTCCCCTTCAAGTTCCTTACTAAGTTTGAACAAAACTTTAGAAAAGTAACATGCGGAATGAACTCGGATGGAGAGCTTCTAAGCTCTTTTTAACCGCACCGTGTTGGATACCTCTGTATTGGCTGGGGCTCCTTCGATTTGGAATATGCTCAACCTGGTTTTTTCACCCCCCCCCCCCCCCCATAAAACAGGTATGCCTGGAATTTCATTAAATTCGTAGTTTTGATCTTGCTTTTGACCCTGTTTTTGGGAGTTACATGTAAAAATGTAAATGCAATGGATAAGGGCAAGGCCCAGTAGTGCTGAATTCCTTAGAGACATTTCCTAAATTATAAACATTTGTTAAGGTCTGCTTTCAAAGGAAGATCATTTGCGAATCAGGTTTGCTCAAATTGTGTGAAATACGCTAAATGCACGCAATTGCAACTGAAAGATCGCTCAAAAGAGAAGAAAAGAAAAGCATAGTGTTCAAAAGCTGGATTCGTGCCCGGGACTCATCGTACAAGAGACAGGAATTATGACCCAACTGACTAACAATGTGTTTACACGCCAGACAGCACCAAAAACCATTATTTGTTCGCTGACGTCTGTAAGACGTCATCACCGTTCAATATGTGTGTGCGTGTGTGTGTGCGTGTGTGTGTGTGTGTGTGTGTGTGCGTTACGTCATCTGGACCACACCCGCAATCACGAACACCATGCGCGGTCTGTGGCCGGTCACTGTCGAAGAGTGGTATGGCCCGACACAAGTGCAAAGAGGAGCGCAGCAAGCCGATCGCAGATCAGATTGGGAGCAGGATATGCGTGTAACAGATGGTTCAAGAACACTGGATCATGGAGGCCTCCCTGTCCATTAGTGTCGACCGGACGACGATCGCTCTACAGGCCCTGTGGTGGGCCCTTCTGTGTCTGCGCCTAACTCGGTTGCGGCAGTACCAGTGCCGGCGAGGACTCAGCTAACACTACCCTGCTGCCAGGCTCATTGCAGCGCATGTGGCAGATGCTGCCGATCAAAGAGGGGCTTCCAACTCCACAGCTGCGCAAAGTATACCCGAACTCTCGTTGGCCACTAGTCTGCGGAGCGTGCTGCGTACCGTATTCAACTGACCTACCCCATGTCTGTCGGCCCCTCGTATGAGGGGACATGTGACCGTTTTACGGCAATGTTCAGGACAGGACAGGGTTGTAGCCCGAACCCGTTTGTGAGCCTCTGCTGGTACCTTGTCACAAGTTGTGCCGAGTGTGGCCGTCTCTTCTCCAGGAGTGGTTTGGCTCGTCACAAATGCCTCGGTGAGCGCCGCAAACCTGTATTAGAACAGAGAGACAGCCGACAATATTCTGCCTGCCAGTGCTGGTGGTCCACAAGTGCCCCATCTCCCAGACGCTCCCCATGACATCATATCAGGCTCCGTGCCGAGCAGCGGTGTCCACCAATGCTGCTCAGACGACTCCTCTACTGCTGCGTGTCCGGCTCACCCTCTCATGTTGCAAGGCCCACTGTGGGGCCTTTAGTCGGTGCTGCCGCTCTACTCGTGGCTTCCAAATCCATAGCTGCCAGAGATGACTCTCTCGTCGTGCAAATCGAACATGGTCCTTGACCCCTCTGCCACCTCTCCGCCGTCGCTCGTCGTTCCATGTTGTCGGCCCTGCAAAGGTAAACGTGACCGTAATGGCTGTGTTTACCAGGACTAGGACCAGGTGTGTTGTAGTTAAAGTGTGTGTGTGTGTGTGTGTGTGTGTACGTGTGTGCATGTGTGTGCATGTGTGTGCGTGCGTGTGTGTGTGTGCGTGTGTGTGTGGGGGGGGGGGGGGCAACCTGTTGGAAGGCTACATTCTTGCCAAAGCATTTTCTCCACAATCCAGTGTGTCGTTACTATAACAGCTTTCATGTCTGAGGTTGTTGGTATTTCTCTTGGCTCTGGATTCCCAGTACTCAGCAGCCGAGGCTCAGGCGCGTAGGCAGGGGGGTGCTTTGGGTGCCAAAGCACCCCCCTCGACCATGGGCATGGGTCTGGCTTGGCAATGGCATGCATTGTATGATCAAACAACCGCGACTGCCCTCAGCCCAGATTGGGTGCATGCTACGTAGATCTGCGAGTACTGCATTGTACTACACATGGCTGCACTTTTCCGTTGCAGTCAGTGTGCAAGTATTAGTTACTCCATGAACAAAGACAAGTGGTCTCAAATAATGCGCTACTTGTGGTGCATGTTGCTGCGAAGGTAGAAGGTCTGAAAACACCAACAAAATCAGCGAAGCGCTTGCCAAGGAAAGAAGGTGCGGAACTGCTTGCCCTACCCCGCTGGAAGGTCGTTACAGTGTACTTGAAAAATGCTAGCTTGCCTTCATCCCCTGCCACCTGGAGGCATGGATCGCTTGAAAACGAAGTTTCTTGACCTGAATTTGAACGCGCGTCTTCTTCAGCGTATTGTTGAGTGCTGAAGGGTCAGACCGCCTGCCTAAAACTCTGATGAAGACGTCGACCCTAGCTGCAAGTGCAGCAAAGCGGGAGGCCACAAACTAAAGCTTGGTCCGTCGACAATGCTCTGCCTCAATTTCTAGCTGATTTCTTTGCCCCTCGAGTGGACAAAATAAATTCGAAAAATTGCTCTGGGAAACAACAATTTTTTAATGACTCGGAGGAAGTAGATTCTTGGAATGTCAAGCTGGAGACATTCAAAATACATAAATAATTCAAGGTGTACACCGCACTAGCATGCATACAATATGCATACATGTAAAAGATTCCTCAAGAGAACGTTTTTGGAAGAAAATTATGGGCACCCCCCTTGACCATGATCCTGGCTACGCCCCTGAGGCTGGTTGGTAAAGTAACTCCAATTTCACTGCAACGTACCAGTGCATCTAGTGTCTGCTTCTATCAAAGCAGCGTGCTGTTTATACTGGTTACCCCAGCAAGTGTAGGGTGTGCATAGGTAACTGTCTTGGCCGTCCTATTCCGATGTACTCCGTGTGGTGTAGACCCGGTGTGCATTGGGGGGGGGGGGGGGGGGGGGGGGTCGATTCACATGGCTTCGATTCACATGGCTTCGCCAGTTGTGTGGATTAGACAGTTATCTGGCGCTTGTCTTGATCTGTTTCAGTCAGAATCAGAGCCGCCATCATTGCTATAAAGAGAAAACCTGTGGGTGCACATCCAGTGCATTTGCAGATTTGAGTGCTTCTCTTGCGACGGGCGTGTACATGGTATGTCGTGTGTGTGTGTGTGTGTGTGTGTGTGTGTGTGTGTGTGTGTGTGTGTGTGTGTGTGTGTGTGTGTGTGTGTGCTACTCCAAATAGCTGTATGGTGTAGACCAGGCTGTAGACCAGGCTGAATAGTGACGGTCAATTCTTCAGCCTTGCAAGCTGTTGAATGGTGTAATCCCAGCACAAGTTGCTATGGCTTCTGCCGTAGCATTGCTATCATCGCCTCCGGCGATGGGCGTCAAAGGTCAAAGGTGTGTGTGTGTGTGTATGTGTGTGTGTGTGTTTATGTGTGTGTGTGTAAGTGTGTGTGTGTATGTGCATGTGTGTATGTATGTATGTATGTATGTGTGTGTGTGTGTGTGTGTGTGTGTGTGTGTGTGTGTGTGTGTGTTTGTGTGTGTGTGTGTGTTGTTGTTGTTGTTGGTGAGTTCTTTTCCATCAGTATGGCAGCTTGTTTTGATTTCCTTCTTTTTTTCTATTCATCCTGCTGCATCTCCCTCTTCTGTTTTGCGCCACTGCCCCTCGCCTTGCGCTCAGTTCTCTGAGTGGAGGGCGGCGTGACCCCACTGGGGTAGCTGATTGATAGAATAAGTAGTAGTAGGGTGTGTGTGTGCGCGTGTGTGTGTGTGTGTTTGCGTGTGTGTGTATGTTTGTGTGTGCATGTATGTGTATGTTTGTGTGTGTGCAGGGGGGGGGGGGGCACTTGTTGGTAATCTAGACCTGATGGTGTTCCAGAGGTGCAAAGGACATGTATATTACCGTACATACATACCTGTACAAGTCGGAAGAGTTGTCCACATTCCATTATCTTGACATGTTATTGTGTCAATGGAACTTGTACTAGTATCCTTAGTAAAGCCGGCACGACATGAAATTCCCAGAACAGTTCCAGAGACATTGGAGAATGTAGCATTGAAATCATAAACATGAGAGGGATCGAACAGGGGACAGGGTGCTGAAATCACAAGAAAGAGAATTGTTCACTTTATATTGGCTTCAGAAGAAAGGTACTTAAGCCATTGTGCAGGACTACCGCAAAATCAACGTTTGATCTGAGGAATTTTCAAATACTGTATAGCAGGAAATTTTCGGACGGAATTTATTTTCGTACGATTTCGTACACGGCCTCTTTTGTACTAAAATTAATTCCGTACTAAAATTTGTTCAGGTGAAATTATGTACACTATACATGCGTACTGAATGCAAACACATGTATTTAGCATGCAGCAGTAAAAAATTATGGCTCCCGTCGAAAAAAAAAATTAGCATGCAGCACTGTACGAAAATATAATCCGTACGAAATGTCGAAATTCGGCTTTGTCCGAAAATATTTCCGTCCGAAAATTTCCTGCTATACAGTATATGGGATCAAGCGGTGCTGAGGCTTCTCTTTTTCATTGAAATCACAGAGCAGAATTATCTCACTCTGTTCCTCTATCCCTTTGGGTGCTAAAAATACATCACAAAAATAAATCTGATAAGCTCAATTGACTATGCACAAACTGTACCCTTACCACACAGTGACTGCACACTTCTATTTTCATTATTCTATTGGCTTGGAGAGACTCCCATCATAGGTGTCCGTTTACCTCGGGAGAATCCGCAAATAAATACGAGAGAGCTTGGAAGCTCAGGGCCCTACGCTATGCTTTTTTTGCCTTGATGACCTAGACAAAAAAAGCATAGGGATGTTATAAATTCTGTAAAAAAATCTCTTTTTTTAAGACATAACCTGGGATTCGAACCCGCACTATCGCGCACCCTGCATGCATCCCCCGATACACTTCGCAACAATACTAATTCTTCCAAGTTGCTTCACATTGTGATCTTGCATTTGAAAGTCCTATTTGAATATGCATTGTGGCCTGCCGTCTTTGATGGTACGGTACGGTAAGGGATAGGTACGGGACAGGTACGATCGAGGGTAATACGACACCGTCTCCCGTACCGTACTATCAAACACAGCTGGCCACATACAGCTGCCCGCAACATTCAAATAGGGCTTTCAAACGAAAGATCATAACCTGAAGCAACTTGGAAGAATGGGTATGGATGCGAAGTGTATGGGGGAATGCATGTAGGGCGATAGTGCGGGCTCGAATCCCAGGATATGCCTGAAAAAATAGGAGAATTGAAAAATTTATAATATCTCTATGCTTTTTTGCCGTCAGATACGGGATAGCGCCAGGCGTGACACAAACAAACAAACACACAAATACCAAATTAAAGCTGTGTGGACCCTGGCTAGCGCCAGACGTTACTGAAGTAACGTCTTCTGCATAGCTACGGGAATAATTGAATTTAAAGTAATTTGTGGCACTCGTGGTATCAGTGCTACATGTAGGGATGCAGCAGATGTGGTGTGAGTGGAGAGATGGGAACGTAAAGTGTAGAATCAGTTGCGTCATGATCATGACTAAACATGACAGCAAGAGTATTATAACTCCCCAAGAGTGTGCACCTCTGCGTATGGGGTCTCCGACGGCGAAGACTCACATAACATGTCTAAGGTACGTTAGTACCACGTACCAACGAAGGATAGCGTGCGCGCAATCCAAACATCATGCTGTGTTTGCATACGCGCAGTAAGTTTATGTCGCATTGAGTGCTTTTTTTATTACTCCGCTGCTCGCAATTTCATGTTATCAACTGGTCTTGTCATCGTCCTGTAACGGACTTAGCTTGTGCACATTTTCGCTGCGCTCACCTTCCCATCATTGGTTCTACCATGTTAACCCTTTGTGGACGGACTGTACGAGTTTCGATCTAATAAGATCGAAACTTCGTAACTTCGTAACTCCATCGTTTCTTGAGCAAATTCCACAATCGAAGGGTCTACGTGGTAGCGGGAACTCCAAGATGTCCAATGCAACAATCGCTGAAGAGTTACAATGTCGGACGCCAGAGATATCGCACGCCGTATTCTTACCTCGGCAAATTCAAATTTTTGATCGATCACCTTGAACATTCTAAGCTGTATTCCCAATTGGCGCATGGACGCGGTACGCTTGCGGCTCATGCTTGCCCAAATGCGCGCTCAAGCTTTCACAAAAAAAAACAGCTATCCCAGTCGTATTTAGCGCGTGCGACACCTTCGAGAACTAATATTTTGACCCCGCCAGTCAAATTGACTGGAATGTACGCTGATACGCGCCTGATACGCGCTGAAAATTGCAACATGTTGGAATTTCCATTTCGGCGCGTTTCCGTACGCATGGCGCCCCAAAAGCCCGCAAAAATTCGTACAAACGCGTGGTTTCAAGCATACACGCGCCAGTTGTGAACACAGCTTTAAGCTGGACGGCTGTTGGTTTGTATACTGGAGGTGTGGGCTAGGCCTCAGTTCGTTGAATGTCTCAGTAGCTTGTCAGTTTGTGCCCTGTTATCGTACTTTCTGACTGCTTGACTGTTAGAGTCGTGGATAGTAGCTTCTCGTTTCCATGTGATTTCTTCTATTTTTGTCTATTCATATTTTACTGGGGAATTCCCAAGAGGCGGCAACGCCTTTTTACAGGAATAGATTGATGGATGAGTGAAACTCAACTGGTGAACGAGACAGGCGGCGAGCCAGTGGAAGTGTGTTCCACCAGGCAGCGAGAAAATCAGCAGCTGCACTGAAGCCATATCGGGTGTTAGCAGGGGGCAGAAACTTGGCCACGGGTGGACTTGGCCACGCGTGGTGGCTGCAATGTGGGCACCATGGGCGAGCAAGGTAAAGTGATCTCCCAGAAGAGGACTAGCACGCCCATTCAGGCAGCGGTAAACAAATGCATGAGAAAGCTGGACATTGTGCAGGAGGGGAAGATGCAATACCAAGAAGGTTACTTAGATGAGGTGTAATAAAATTCAGTCTCTGTTTTCGTACCAATCCAATCCTGCCAGTTATGACTTGCTGCTTGTATACTGGTATGAGTGCATTTCTGTTATAACAAACTTCGGTTATAAAGTACAAACTATCCTGCACAATGTAGTTTGTTATATCAGGACTCCACTGTAACTGTTCGCAACTGTGAATCTCGCTTTGCCCTTGGTGGCAAGTTTGCGTCATTCCTTCATGGCAAGTTTGCTTTGGCCATTGGTGGGCAGGTTATTAGTCTCTATAGCCGCTTGTCTGCCCTAGGTTGGGCAGTATGTTTTAACTCTCGGTGGGTAAGTTGTTGGCCTCAGCGGCTGTTCATGCAGCCTCAGTGGGCAGATTGCCAGCCGTGGCAGACATTTACAAGCCCTTGATAGCCAGTATGCTAGCAGTCCACGTCATAAAGGGTCATTTAGCCCTCAGAGCTGTGGGCTAGCCCTCGGTGGCCCATTTGTGAGCAGTATGATTATATTTAAGCTCAACTATTGTCTACTTCTTCCTTGGAAATGGTCTATCATCACATACTATCATATTATACATGCAGACTACAAACTGCATTAACCTTTTGAGCACGCGTGACGTTCTGACACGTGATGACCACTGCCACTTTGACACGCGTGGTTAAGCATATTCCTTAACTTTTTTATCCGAAAATAAATCATCTCAACTCCCAACCCAACATGTCAATTGATTGTGAGTGTATGCGTATGGATACGATGTTGTAGATGCACGCGGGGGGAATGGGAACGTTTCCATTCATATTAATTTCATGTGCATGAGTGCAGGAGTGTATGTATGTGTGTGTGTATGTGTATGTGTATGTGTGTGTGTGTGTGCACCGATGTGTCCAACCGCATAGCTGCTGCATCTAAGGCCTTTGGCAGCCTCTACTCGTCAGTTTTTCGGAACACTTCACTAACATCCAAGACGAAACAACACACGTACACATGCTGTGTGTTGTCGGTGCTGTTGTACGGGGCTGAGAACTGGACACTGTTGCGTGCCAACATACGTCGCCTTGAACAATTCCACAACCGCTGCGTTCGTGTCATTCTCGGCATCTCGCGTTCCAAACAGTGGGAGGACCACCTGTCATCTGCCTCGCTGCATAGAATGTGCGCTACAGAGCCAGTTGCTGACATGGTTGCCCGTCGACGGCTGCAGTGGCTTGGCCACATTGCCAGGATGGACGATCACCAGCTTCCAAAGGCAGTGTTGTTCTCGTGGCTCCATACTCCACGCCCTGCTCATGGCCCCAGGCTTGGATGGCGTGATGTGGTACGCGATGACCTCAAGGCGTTCGGTCTATACACCGGTTGGTACGACCTCGCAGCTGAACGTGGCGAGTGGATCCAGTCCATCTCGGATGCTATGGTTGCACGGCGCTTGCCTTGAAACGACAGCCAAGTCAGTGTGTTGTGCGATCTGTGAGCGACTCTTTGCCAGTGAAAGCGGACTTCGGTGGCACAAATGCAGGGAAGAGCGACTGAAGCCGATCCATGAACAGGCCGGTGCTGTGTTGTGTGAAACGTGCCATCGTTTGTTTGCTAGCCGAGGTGGATTTGCTGTGCACAGCTGCCCTCCCAGTCTTGGTGACGCTCCAGTTCCAGAGATTGTTGCACCTCGCCCACCTGATTGCAGCCAATGTCATTACCACTGCCACACCTGTGACCGCTGTTTCCGGAGCAAAGCTGGGCACCGCCGGCACAACTGCAACTCCAACCGCAGAACATGCAGCTCTGGCTCCGAGCGCCGCACCATCCCGTGCCCGACCTGCTCTCGGAGGTTCACACGTCTCCAGTACCTGGCTCAACACAAATGCAAGAAGTAACTCTGCCCTTCTTGCCTCTTTGAGGCACTGCATCACCTTCAGGTGGCAGTTTCACGGTTTCAAGGTATGTGTGTGTATGTGTGTGTGTATGTGTGTGTGTGTCACGGCTGTTCCAGCACAGCCACTTATAAATATGGCGTCGTTCGGTGCGATTTATGTAACATTGTACGAATCGTGCAAATACGGGATGAGTTTGCGTTTTTAGAAGAAACTCATGTCGCTCCTCACGTGGTATCACGATTTGGGAAGCGATTCCAAGAGAAATTATGTGAAAGCGCTCGAGCGAGATACTCGACTTTTAGGTAATTTGAGAGAGAAGAAGGGTGGAAAGGCGTCCTGGCCTGCCCAGTTAGCTATCTTTCCGCTTCAAACTTGCTCAAAACTACTCCTGATAGTCCAGAGATCGACCGCCCCTGTGATTATCGGCCTCTGCTTGGCGTGCGCGCGTGTACAATATTCAAATTGGACATTTCGTACTCGTTCAACGCACAATTTCCAGCTCACTTGGCCGGCTGCTGTCTTCTTCTACAATATCCCACATGCCAACTAAGCAATTTACAGCAGGAAGCAGCCTTCTAGACTGAACAGCAACTAAAGGGCCACGCCATTTGTCTGCCGAATCAAGAGAAAACAGGTTCCTGACCCGCCTCGCGAACTTAGAAGTTCATGCGCGAACAACAACGATACTCAGGGAAGACAACCAGAGGATAGTCCTCTACCAGGGAAAATTGCCATCTAGCCTGGGAAAAATCCAGGAAAGGCTTCTCGGGGCCGAGTTTGACAGCGACGACACAAGGAGTACTTCAGAGTGAAGCGAAACTTGCACGACGCAGAACAAATGTCTCTTGAAGGAAAGGCAGGCATGTGAGGTACGAGCGGAAAGCTTAAAACAAGACGCACGTGATCAGCGTGTTCCCAAGGCTGTCCGGGCCAGCCACCAAAAACCACGGGAAACCATGGCCTACTGGGGTTCTGGCGATTTGAAAATTCAAATTTTCTTGCCATTGAAGCCCGATCGAGACTTTCGGCGGCCATATTGTAAAGTGGCGTGAAATCGCACAAAAAAACAGCCGTTGTGTGTATGTGTGTGTGTGTGTGTGTGTGTATGTGTGTTTGTGTGTATGTGTGTGTATGTGTGTGTATGTGTGTGTATGTGTGTGTATGTGTGTGTATGTGTGTGCATGCGCGTGTGTGCATGTTTGTATGCGTGCGTGCTTGGATGCACGCGTGCGTGTGCATGCGTGCGTGCTTGGATGCACGCGTGCGTGTGCACGCGTGTGTGTACATGTGTGCGTGCATGCTTGGATGCACGCGTGCGTGTGCACACGTGTGTGTACATGTGTGTGTGTGTGTGTGTGTGCGCGCATGCATGCGCGCGCGTGTGTGTGTGTGTATGTTTGTGTCTGTATGTGTGTGTGTGTGTGTAAGTGTGTGTGAGTGGGTGTGCGTGCATGCACGTGTGTGTGTGTGTGTGTGTGTGTGTGTGTGTGTGTGTGTGTGTGAGTGTGTGTGCGCGCGCGTGCGTGTGTGTATGTGTGTGTGTGTGTGTGTGTGTGCGTGTGTATGTGTGTGTGAGTGTGTGTGTGTGCGTGTGTGTGTGTGTGTGTGTGTGTGTGTGTGTGTGTGTGTGTGTGTGTGTGTGTGTGTGTGTGTGTGTGTGTGCATGCGCGCGCGTGTGTGTGTGTGTATGTTTGTGTCTGTATGTGTGTGTGTGTGTGTAAGTGTGTGTGAGTGGGTGTGCGTGCATGCACGTGTGTGTGTGTGTGTGTGTGTGTGTGTGTGTGTGTGTGTGTGTGTGTGAGTGTGTGTGCGCGCGCGTGCGTGTGTGTATGTGTGTGTGTGTGTGTGTGTGTGCGTGTGTATGTGTGTGTGAGTGTGTGTGTGTGTGTGTGTGTGTGTGTGTGTGTGTGTGTGTGTGTGTGTGTGTGTGTGTGTGTGTGTGTGTGTGTGTGTGTGTGTGTGTGTGTGTGTGTGTGTGTGTGTGTGTGTGTGTGTGTGTGTGTGTGTGTGTGTGTGTGTGTGTGTGTGTGTGTGTGTGTGTGTGTGTGTGTGTGTGTGTGTGTGTGTGTGTGTGTGTGTGTGTGTGTGTGTGTGTGTGTGTGTGTGTGTGTGTGTGTGTGTGTGTGTGTGTGTGTGTGTGTGTGTGTGTGTGTGTGTGTGTGTGTGTGTGTGTGTGTGTGTGTGTGTGTGTGTGTGTGTACGGATGTTTGCTCGCAGGTCTGGCCGTGAACCCGGGGACCTGGGCTACGCGTTGTTATCCTTGCTAAATTACACAAGTACATTATACACTTGTAGAGATAACTTAGTTCTTACCGCCTACAGGGATAGTTCTTGTGTGTGACGTAGTCTTGGCAGTAGCATTACACTCTGCTTGTACTGCTGAAACCTGAGCAATAGTACATGTGAATGGTGGTTGGTTGATATCCACAGTACAGGTAATATTGATGGACTGGCCAGGTGTGTAGGTACTCCCATCTAGTGATGCTGTTCGTGTCTTTGTACACACACCAGCAGTACAATTATTGGTAGCAGTGCCTGTCAATACGACACTGTTGACCATTAGTTTCACTGTAGGTTCTGGGTATCCCTGACCTATACAACTGATTGGGTGCACAGTGTTGCTGTTGTCCACATAATCCGATGTGTTGAATGACAGTATGGTAGGTGGAACTGTGCATAGCAGAGACACATACAGTGACAGAGAAATGATCGAAGACTTTGAAGTACTATGATCACGTGGTTGATCCTTTTCAAGCTTTGGTACAACTTGATCACCAGACAAAGTTGAGGGTAGAAAAGAGTTGATTATTGTTCAATGTCACATACTAAAGTTGACAGTAGAAAAGAGTTGATTATTGTTCAATGTCACATACTAAAGTTGACGGTAGAAAAGAGTTAATTATTGTTTAATGTCACATACAGACTAAAGTTGAGGGTAGAGAAGAGTTGATTATTGTTCAATTCCCGTAGCTATGCAATAGACGTTACTTCAGTAACGTTTGCCGCTAGCCAGGGTCCACACAGCTTTAATTCAGTGTTTGTTTGTTTGATTGTTTGTGCCGTCGGCATGCCTGGCGCTATCCTGTACCTACGGTATTTCCCCGAATATAAGTCGCACCTTTTTACACTAAAATTCAACGGTAAAAAAAGGGTGCGACCGTGACTTACTACTGAAGTCAATATATCGAATCAATATCGCTCGAACCTGAAAATGGGGGTGCGACTTATTATCGATTGCAGCTTATAATCGGGGAAATACGGTATACCATACCGCACCATACCATCAAAGACAGCTGGCCACAAAATTCAAATAGGGCTTTCAAGTGCAAGACCATAACATGAAGCAACTTGGATGAATGAGTATGTATGCAAAGTGTATCGGGGGAACGCATGCAGGTCGCTAGTGCGGTTTGAATCCCAGGTTACAGTATGTCTTGAAAAAAATAATAATAATAATTTATAACATCCCTTTGCTTTTTTAGCCTAGGTCATTTAGGACTTAGGTGGTAGACGACAATTATGTATCCAATCAATGGAAAAACATTTCCTTCAGCTCTAATAACATGCATGATGAGCTAGGCAAAAAGCATAGCATAGGGCCCTGAACTTCCAAGCTCTCTCGTGTCACATACAGACTAAAGTTGACGGTATGCTAACCTTGACGGAAACAGCGCTGGCGGTGCTGACTAGGTCAAGAAATAAACACGTCCAAGAACTACCATGTTACAATGGCGACCAGCACGGTCAGGAGACATTACCGGTATGTCAGCTACAATACAATAATTATAATCACACTCGATGCGAAAATAAATTACACCCTCGAACGCCGCGTTTGTCAAAGGGACAGGGAAGTGATTCATTCTCCGAAGTTGGAAAGTGTTTGGACTGATGCTCCTTGATGCCAGAATATTTCGCAGCTGTTCACTGACCTGACTCACTTCACCAAACGACTTATGAGCGTTTCGTTCTACAAGTGTTCTGGGGCAGAAACAAGAATTGCGCCCGCAACGAAAGGACGAAAGTCTCTCGCAAACTAAAGTCATGTTGCCACAAAGAATATCCCGCAAGCCCTTTCTTCTGCTTCGAGTGTTGTAGCTCTCCAGTCCACTGGCAGATCGTTCCATCCCACCGAACAAAAAAAAAGGATCTGCTTCTCACTCCAAAAAAAACTCGTGACTGTCCGGGCCGGCCATGTACATATACATATCACATGTATCGCATATAGCTCACTTTTGCTGGACACGATGAACATGTTAGCACAGCGGCTGGTGCTAGAACGTACAGCATGCTTGTACTTCGGATTTTGGGAATTTTCGAGGTGAATGGCTTCCTTTATGTCTACATGCGATGTACAGAAAATACCAAAACATCCATATGAGATATTAATTGTCATTTGGGTATTTGGAGCTGTAGAACGCTGAAACGTGCCCTGTTGGCCACCCCCCCCCCCCTTTTCACGGGGTACACTCCCAACCGCGCTATGACGCCGTCGGTCTGAGTTCAGTGGCCAGTACTGCAAGAGCAATAGCCCAAACGTTAAGCTTGATGTGACAGGTCCCATTCGAATAGTTCATTGAAAAAAGGCTCAGCCTAGAAATCTCGAGTAAACCTCCACATGAGGCTCTGTATTTAATAAACTATTTATCCCATTTGGACTATGCATTGCAGGAAATGATTGCTAGACCCAGCTGGTCCATTTTTGCAGTGGTTACGTTGATTATAGTGCGTGTACTCATGAAATGGTGCTGGCATCGGTCATTCCGCCGGATTTTAATGTTCACAAAATTACGTGTGTGTGAGTGTGCATGCGCGTGGGTGTGTGTGTGTGTGTGAGTGTGCATGCGCGTAGGTGCGTGCGTGTGTGTGTGCATGTGTGCGTGTGTGTTTGCATATCTGTATGCAGTGTTGTTTCCATGATTTGGCGGGGGGGGGGGGGGGGGGGGGTGATGACATCATATTACTGTCCCACATACATGCCACGAAGCTATCCAACATATGTATTTAATCCAGACGTATGTCAGTTACTACAATCATCCCTGATATCAGTTACTACAATCATCACTGATATCAGTTACTACACACATCACTGATATCAGTTACTACAATCCTCACTGATATCAGTTACTGCAATCACCCCTGATATCAGTCTTATTACTGTACTACATCCGTGCACAAAATATATTTTGGAGCATATCATGCTGTTCTTCATCATGTTCTGGCTGTACACTGAGGACAGGTACTTCCGCATCTGGCAGAATGTTAGTCTGCTCCGAAATGGACTTGCAACGACGCGATCACTCCCACTAGAGCCTTTGGATATTCCTTGAAATACAATAAAAACACTGACCTCCAAATTTTACAATTTTTTCACCTGCTCTCCATTGATAGCTCCTAAAGAGCACAATCCATTGGCACAGATTTTCAGACCTAGCACTGACATCCCTCCATGTTCAAGCCCAATGTCGACTATTTAGTCTTGCGCCTCACTGACAGGCTTTCCAGGCCGGAAAAATTCCGGCATAGTGCCACGGTGTGCGAGCCACCCAGGAGCCAAAAAATGCATCTTCATTTTTTTCACATTTTCTTGCAGATTCTGCCCGTGCGCGGGATCCAAACCTAAAAAAAAACGGAAGCAGCCATGGGTGGTGGGATAGGGCCCCTCAACGTGGCCCTGAAATCTGCCACAACGGCAACGACATGCGCGTTCTCTCGCAGACTCCCAGAGACCGAAGTCAATTTTTCAATTTGTTCAGGTTTAGGGCATGCTACGAGGTCGTACCTTTGATACAATATCTAGTGCTGGGGACCTCCACAGCAAGCCATTTCCACAGCACTGCACACCAAATCCAGGATACTCTCAAAAACCGGCTAAGACTACCACTCACGTTCCACTACTGCCTAGTACTGAATCCTACCTGACTTCTTGACACGACTCAAACTTGCCAAAGTCACTAAATCAACGTCAACTACAATAATCAAGCCACATATCTGCAATGTCACGACGGTGCTGGCAAAAGTCCTGCTGCATGGCGGCGGACAAAGCCCGCTGCCGTACAGCCAAATACATGGCTAAAAAACGTGATTTTTTGGACTTGGACCAAAATTCTGCACACTTTCGCGTGTTTCCATGATACGACAAGCTGCACACGGTCTGTCCAGATTCAAATACAGTGCTGCCAAAAAATGACAGTGTGCAACAAAAAGATCTTTCCTTGCAAGGGCACATTTTCGGCCATAACTCTTGAACGGCTGGTCAGATCGAGACAAACTTTTCAGAGATTGTGCAGCTAATCATGGTCTTTCAACTGATGTAGCACTCGATGTCAATTTACAAATTCGATTTTTCAGGGATTTTATGACTAGGCTGCCCCCTTAAAGCCTAGTTCACATTCGACGCAGCGCCGACGGTACGGGACGTACGGGCTTGTTGGGAGGGCTGGGGTGAGCTGTAAAATCCTGTACGGTTCGTGCGACACGGCACGAAGCAGTCGTTGCAACGTTCAAAGTCGAACGGTGCGAGCCATAAGGCCCGGTCCGTGACGGGGTGACTTTCGGACCTAATTTCTCGTTTTTCGAGACTTCTTTTCAATTATTTCTCCTTGAAAGAAACGGAATCAAGTTCACAATACCAGATTTTAATGAAGACCAAAAATTAGCCGTGAAAGTTGTGGCATTCAAATAATATCCCCAGGAAATGATAGAATAGTTCGTCTGTCACGCTTCTGAACTATCCCTAAATGCAATAAGTGACATGAGATCTTATGTTGCTAAAATTCAACTCAAGTCATGCTAGCCATTCTGTGAGTTATCATGGGAAGCGCAGTGTTCGAAATGCTAAAAATTTCCAAGTACGAATTGGGAGTAGTCGGCGCACGACGAAATCTCCTGTTCACACTCGAATTGAAGCCGTTCTGTACGCTTGCGTCCCCGTGTACGCCCGTCTACGGTATGAAAAGTTGGATCGATCCAACTCTTCCCATCGCTTCCCGATCTGTACGGTAGTACGGTTGCGTTCTCGTTCCTGGTGTTCACATTGGACGCCGTCAGACCGTCCCGTCGCTTCCCGTCGATCCTTATGTCACGTCCCATCGCGTCCCGTCGAATATGAACTAGGCTTAAATCTGGTTTTTGAAAAGTCCACAAAGGACGAAACAGTTCCGTACGCAGATTGAGTATATGGGCCTCAACCAGCGAAAACAGTCCCTAGGGTCAAACCTTTCTAAATTCCTTTTTGGTTAGAAATTTGTTGAAACACATGTACTGAAGTACCTCAGCCAAGAAAAAGATCAATTTTCCGATTCCGAACGGGTGTATACACTAATGTACTAGATGCACTCCAAATTGGTGCAATGTATGTAGACGATTTTTTTTACGAGAAAGCACGAACCTCGAGAACAGTAGGCACATGGGGAGAGGAGGGGGAGTACATTTATATAGAGGAAGGAAAACGAAAAGATGATACATGTGATAGAGTAAAACAATTAAAAAATAAAAATAAAAAGGGGGGGAGCCAGGGTGCAAGTGGAGAGGGTGTGCAGGAAGTGTTCAGAGGGCATCTGTCCCTGAATGCCAGTCTCGGCTGCGGAGAAAATAAAAAATTAAAAAATAGAAAAGGGAGGAGCCAGGGTGCAAGCGGAGAGGGGGTCCAGGGAGTGTTCAGAGGGCATCTGTGACTGAGTGCCAGCCTGGGCTGCGGAGAGACTTGTAGGCACCTTCCTTGAATGCCTGCACTTCTGTGTGGGAAGGTTGCGTAGCAGGGCAGATGAGAGACGATTCCAGTCTTGGATCGATGTATGTGTGCACTGAAAATTCAGCATTCTAAAAGTGGGTGAGCAGCTTGAATACCTTTGAAATAGTGCAGTAAGCAGCTAGAATAACACAGAATAGCTGCACAGTGCGGAGACATTATGGACATATTCGCAGCAGCATCCTGCGGGGAGCCGTTCCGCAGTCTTATCTTCTATTTCTTCCTTCCTCCACAGCTGAAGGTCCGACGTCGCTGCCGTCCCTAGCCCCAAACTCAGAATTTATCTCAGATGACGACTCCTCATCTTCTGACTCATTGGCCACCTTGAGCCGCATCGGAGCACGGGATGACGACTGCGATTCCGCCTTGCTGTCGACATCGACTTCGGAAGAAAAGAACGTCTCATTCTCTCTCTGAACTTCAGTTCTACTTCAGCATCCACTCCCCACCAGGCTCGAGATAGCTGTAGACAATGCCTGACACAGCCATCATGATAAGATCAAGAAACACTTGAATCGCCACTCGACACACCACTTCAACTTCAAAAAATAACTTCAAGCAATTGCGCAAGGAGTTCAAGAAGTGAAGAACTCGTCGCGCTGTTTGCAGCGTGATCAAAAAACACCGTTGAAAGTCACAAATGGACTTTTTCTCGAAAAAATTACGAAACCGTTTTCGCTGATTGCGGCTCATATCATCAAGAGTACATATCCGCCCAGAGTGTGCAACGCCGATCCAGCTCTGGATAGGGTCTTGGCCGAGCAGAATCGGATCTTCTGATGCAATGCGTACACTCCACACCAGCGCAAGGCCGGTCTCGAGGCAGGGCACCATTGTTTTTGATCCGTGAGTACCCGCGACTCCCCGGGTTCCCCTCAGATGTGTACGGTATTATGACGCAAAGATCCGATTACGCTCGACCAAGACCCTATGCAGAGCTGGATCAGGCGTTGCACACTCTGGGGGTTATGTACTCTTGATATCATACATGCGTGTGCGTCTGTGCGTATGTGTGTATGTGTGCACAAGTGTGTGCTTACGGGTGTGCATGTGCGCTTGTGCGTGTGTGTTCATGCGTGCGAGTATGCATGTGTTTGCATGTGTGCGTGTGCATGTGTGTGTGTGCGTGCGTGCATGTGTGTTTGTGTGTGCGTGTGTGCACGTGCGCATGCACAGGTATACATGCATGTGTGTGTGTGTGTGTGTGTGTGTGTGTGTGTGTGTGTGTGTGTGTGTGTGTGTGTGTGTGTGTGTGTGTGTGTGTGTGTGCGCGTGTGTGAGCGTGTGAGCACAAGTATGCATGTGTGTGTGTGCGTGCACGCGCCCGGGCACATATGTGAGTGTGTTTGCATGTTTCCCGCCATGTTTCACTCATGTAATAGTAAGACTAACAACGTGATACCCCCGATGGCCCCGATGGCTTATACCTAAATATGAGCCAATCGTTACCGCTTGAAAAGGGATTGATTTGCCTGATGGTCCCCTGAGCATCAAACTTGAGTTGCAATAACACCTCGCTCTACTTTACTAGCACCTACTAATATTATGCAAGAAAGGGAAGAGGTTGCCATGATGTCATCATCATCTTGGGTAGATGCACAATACTGAGAATACCTATGTCAAGTGTCTCGTCATTATAACTAACAATACACACAGTCATTGTGTACATACCTACAACATTGAGTTGATATGTCTGTGCTGACACTCCTAAATCTGTAATACACCTGTACTGTCCAGTGTAGGTTGGGTCCAGAGTGTCATGTGATGATGTGGACCAGAATAGTTTAGGTGTGTCGAGAAAAGATCCAACAGCAAATGCTCCCAGATCAGCTACAGTTGTACTGGTATCAGTATTAGTCAGTCGTAAATACTGACCACTACCACCAGCATCCCGTCCTGTAGCCCGACATTGTGGTAAATAACCTAGTCCAACCTGTGCTGTACTTGATCCATTCAGGTAGTTGACTGTGTGTGATACAGGGGCAGGACCAATTGACGGAGGTTGCAATTTCACAAGAACCTGACCTGTACACATAAACACAGCAGATCAATTCAACGCCACACAAAATACATCATGACTGATGTAACACAATTACCCACAATAGTGAACTCCAAAAAAGGTGTACTGCTGGTCAACGAAACGCGGAATTGGCTATCGGTATAGACTAATTATATTTCTTGGAGCTAAGGACCAATTATACAGGTGTACGCATGACATACGCTTTCCGATGATTTCTTGTCCTGTTGAAGTACATGTACTTGACAAGAAATTCGCCAAGTTCTTGCAACACAGCGAAACCTATTCCTCCATGGATGCCGTTGTAGTGGCAAAAGCCCACCAGACAATGTCGACCAATGATTGCTTTTAATATAGAGCTTGCTGATTATCTTCAGCTATGAGAGCCCACAAACGTCAAGCCCAGGAATGTAATCATAACTGTAGCACTTGTGCATGACCTTTATTCATACCTCTGCATGAACTCTGCATCATCTGTTCACAACTTCCGCCTATGGCCTATGCGCACCATGCTTGCATGCCCTCTGTGTGTCCGTTGGTCCACTTCCTGGTACACATGCTTCCCCGTGCCTGAATACTCTGTCCCAGGATGTTTGATTGGTTGAATACGCATTCCCGATAGATTACCTGGGCCATTGGGAACACCCCAGGGCCAATCGAACGCATGTGGAAGTTTCTTGCCAAAAGGTTGATTGGCAAAAAATCCGTGGGATCCCAATCCGGATTTGACCAGTCGAAAGGGTGATAAATTGACTGTCACTGATAATGCAGTGGATCCGGTTGATCTAGACGTACTCGCGGCTTTCCCGTCACGACCCAAGGATTTCAAAAGTGCCTCATCTGATATCCACACTGGGAGATCAGTGACATGTAAATTAGGGGTGAAACGAGTATCTATTTTGACCAATCGATCACTCGTTCATAATATTCGATCGAGTATCCGATTATTTCGAGTATTTTATCAAAATTCAAAAGCACTAGATTTGCGAGTTCTCGACCAATTCGAAAGAAATTATCTGTGAACATAGAACAAAAGTCGCCAATGTCTTGTACAGAGTACTCGAGTGTAAAGTAACGATTTTCATCAGTACTTATAATCTCAGAACGTTACTTGCCGTGGTGATCGCATCGTCCAAGTCTTAAAATACTGACTCAAACCATGCATAACGCATGCATACCAGTGGACCAGCGGTACAACAAAAGGTTTTGAAAAATACAGTGCCAATACTAAAAAAAAAAAAAAAAAAACGATCGAGTGCAAAATTTCGAATACTCGCTCGTTTGAAATTTTCGAACGAATACTCGAATATTCGAACTAATCGTTTCACCCCTAATGTAAATGCAATGTAGGATGTAAAACATGTGTCACGTTCACAAGTTAACCATGCACCATGATGCCTTCACTAACGGGTTTCTCTGCACTCTCTATAGACAAAAAAGTCATGATACATGAACGGTTTCCACTTAGCTTGAATGTCTGCATAGCCGAGATCCTCTGGGGTGTCCGCATTATCGACGGTTTGGGCACCAGAAAAAAAAGGAAAATTTACAAAAACTAGGGATTCACTAGCCAGAAGAAGCCACTTCAAAACCATAATGTCGCGTATAAACCAAGGTGTTTATGGCCGCATAAGCCGGTGTTCAAACCATAAGCTCAGTGCGTAATCCCATATTTGGGAGACGTGATGTAATCGCGTGCCGTGGCAAAGTGCCGAGTTGTGGGCAAAGTCAGCATGCAATATCGTCTTCTGGATGGTGTCATTTATAACAATTTATTAATCTTGATATTCTTGAGCAAGCTGTCTTCTCAGCGTGTGTTTTGTGCAATTACCAGTCCACATTGGTTGCTACCTGATAATATGGTCTCGATGTCAATACAATTTTGTTGTTGTTGTTGACTTTTATTTTACTTCACCAATTGCACAGGCATGATTGCCTTCTTACCGGCCTATAGGTCCGGTTCTCACAGAAAGATGAAGAAAATTGTATGAGGAAATGTATAGAGATAAAGACATGCAAGCGGTATGATTATTATTATTATAGAAATGTTTGTTATGACATTGTGTGTATGCTGACACTCAATTTGTGTGCATTTTTTAAATTGTGATAACAAATAAAATGTAGTGGAAGCATTTCATGAGAATATATGTGTGAACATTGGCAGACTTTGTTGGATGGGGACAATTTTTAGCAGTCCAGGGAACATGAAGTACTGTGAGGGGTGTTGGACCGTTGGCATAGAGTATACAAGTTAAGTACGGCAATATCAGATAGGGAATTTCACACCTTCATTCATAAATGGCCCTGTCCTGTTTAACAATGTACATAATTATGTAAATAAGCGAACATTTTATTATTATCACAGATAACGGTGGTGTTCCCAGAAACTTTATTATTTAGGTGCAGCTTAGCACTGTGCACATTATTCTTTCTATTTGCTGTGTTGAGAGCGTTGTGATTACTCTGTTCTTTCTTGTTTTGGCACCACCCCACACCCTATTATTTGATCATTATTGTATTTAGTCACCTACGGTGTTCTAAGCTGCCATTCCTTTTACTAGTGCTACCTGTTGGCACATCCTATAAACCAGTCCCTTTAATACGCCTCCAGTACTCAGACGCCTACTAATCGTGTTCAGTACTCCACGAGTACAGTGTATTAATTTTTTGATTGAATGGAAAAACAATCACTTTGAAAGAAGATTGTGAGTTCTCGAAGAGTGCTAGGGTGAAGTAACTAGGAAAAGAAAGTTCCAAAGAAGTCCAGTGTTGAAATTAAGAACATCACATTAGAGCAGCACGAACAGCCGGAAGGTAAGGCCATCATTTTTTATATCTGTGTTTCGCGTCAGTTCAGCTTCCAGAATCATATGCGAGAGGTGGAAAGAAATAAAAAGTGGCAAAATGATAAAAAGGGATCATCAGAGGTGTATAGCACTGTACATACTACATAGCCTATTGACTATTGTCAACAGCTTGGGCATGCAGAACATTCGAAAGAAAAATCGTACATCGAAGCACAAAATCTGGGTTATCAGCGAGTGTAAATATTCGCTTTGGACAGAGGAGGCGACCGTTGGTGCCCATGCTTCGCTGGATTATTGTACTTGGCCTTCAGCAGCGGTGCAAAGAACTCCAAAACGACGCATCCTCTTAGCTTGAGGCGATCGATGCGGTCTGGTATAAGCTCAAAGAACTCTGCTCGCAGATGCCGAACAAACGATTACCAACGCTGGCCTCGAGGCCAATTCTGAATCCCAGCTTCGCCGTATGCAACCAGTCCACACTGATGACTCGCACGATCGTACACTCGCTGTGCATGTTCGATAATTTTAATTTTTGTCCGAAAAAATCAAAACGTATGCGTGCGGACGACGAGAAACATAGATATAAAAAATGATGGCCTAATGCGAGAAATATAATTTCTCCAGTCGGGGCAGAAACTCCTTCACAAGGGAATGATCAGCAGCGACAGTTTCCACAAACAGACCATCTGGAAACCATATGACAAAGTCGGCAGCCTCCACCCCGCAAACATACATCTGCGTTTGAACTTGGTAGTAGTAGGTGTGCGTTCGCTTGAGGACCAAATTGCCATCAACATCCGTCAAGCATGAAGTCTGCCGTCCAGCAAACTCACGAAGCGACATACCATTCCGCATGGTGAAAGGACACTTGATCTCCACCACACACTGCAGTTTGCCATTGACCATGACGAGACTATCAAGCGAAGCACTAAGCCATGGTTTGGTTGGATGGATGAAAAAGCTACAGAATTCGACGACAACAGGAACATCCGAAGTCTGTGCACGTGTGATGTAGGCTTTGACAGCATCACGTTCGTGTGCTAAGCCATACTTCATAGCTGCTGTAGGATGCTGCGGTGGAGCCAATTTCCTGTTGATGATGGTGGAGAAATCATCACTTCGTCAGCTTGCAATGCTCTTAACAAGTGTTGCAGTCACTCGTAGTCGCCGCTCATTGTACCAGGAGAGGTTAGTTGACTGTCCCTTCGTCTCCCTTGCAATTTCAGCTGCAAGGGCACTGGACACAGCAACACTGTGTTCATCAGCAGGCGATTCCGGATCAATAGCGGCCATAGACACAGGCGCCTCACAAGAAGACTCTGGTACACCCATCGGGCGCTCAATGTCTGACTCACTGCTGCTGCCCTCGTCACATTCCGAGTCATCTGAGCTTGGGACAAGAGAAGGTTCAAGTAGCTTTAGCCAACATGAGCTGCCATATCTCTTGATCCTTCCCGATTTGTCCTCTGCCAGAGCCTTCTCCTCAGCGCGCTCCAAGTCATTACGCAGCCTGGCAACTGCCTCAGGGTTGACAAATCGGCGGTTTGTAGGCCTGGGGTCATAAAACGTGATGCTTTTTTTCTTTTCTCCAAGATCTCTGCGTGAATACGTATAGAATAAACACCGATGTCGTAGTGTTTATGGGAATATAAACACTGATACAAAAACCAAGGCGTAAGAGAGAAAATGTTTAAGTCCCTTGAAAGTTGAAAAGTTACAACCTCTAAGTGGGTAATATAGCAACGTATATACCCCAAGTAAAGTATTCACCAGTTATAGATCACAGGAATTAGTGGGGGTTAATATGAGCTGGGTAAAAGTGTCCTTCTTCAGGTGGACTTCCGTTACTCTGCTGGCCTTGACGCGTGCTGCTCGGGGATGATTCCATTGTATAAGTTTCTCAGTACAAGTTATGGCTGCCTCTTCACGCGAGCCAAGCCTTACAATGTCCTTCAATGCATATAATAGGCCCGCAATGTGGTTACAGGAACCAGCTAACCCAGCAGGGAATGTGCAGTAGGCAGTGAGAACCGTAGGGACATGTGACACAACGCCAGCAGTGCAGCATATCCGAACATTGTATTTCCTGTCCTTACGGAAAGAGGGCAGGACGACGCAGCGTACAAAACAGAATTGTGGAAAGACAGGCAGTGAATTGAACTGGATCTTCTGGATGTGGCCTCACTTGCATATTTATGTGC